CATAGCTTCATGTTTTGATGCGGTCGGTAGTCTTGAGAGTGCAAGAGCGTATGTTTAGTTACAGTGGGTCTATCTCTAGACGAGAATCATTAGCATTATTAAGTAATCATGATAAAGAGCTGCACTAGTAGTACTCTTTAACACACTGCTCGGCATCAGCAGACTACTGAAATTCCTAGTACTATCCCTTGGACGGATGAAACTCTCAAATTCGCAGCCTTCCTCTTTCAGCTGATACTAGCCATATCTGGTAACTGGCGTTGATTTTTGATTGGTTTTATTATTATTACCGCAAATAAAAAGCAGCAATATTACCTGACTAAGTGCGTGCACGGTCCAGGCTGCGAATTTGAGAGTTTCATCCGTCCAAGGGATAGTTACCATCGACAACTCAGCTCAATAATATAATGTAGGAGTACGAGCATCGATGCGCAGGCAGACAGCGAGACAGGCATCCCAATATCATATCTTTAGTGAATATCACGCATTTTGGAAGTTTATCGCACATGGGCCGCGGGAATGGGAAGCTCTCAGCCCTGAGCTATGAAGTGAAATTAATGATAGCAGGTTTGCATCACCGTACGACAATTTTCTGCCCTGTCTAGCACTACTTTCTTTTAACCTTCTTTTCCACGTCCCGGGAAACCTCCCGATGGAAGTCGACCATGTCGAGTTGCAGAACTCCTCAGCGGGAACTACCGCACCACACTTAAAAGGCACTTCTGTCTCACTACAACCATAGAACCTTGTACCCACTCTTCTTCTACACCAATCGCGACTGGAAAATAGGCCGTTGCACTACTCTACCAAAACCTACACCATCGATCTCCTGGAGAGAACCCAAAGTGCAAATGTGATATAACCATGTGCTTAATTTAGCAGACAAACAAATCCAGCCCTGAAAACGAGTTTGTTTGGATGGCCCACTTTTACACTTCCGTAGGCCCGTATGCACGTCTAGGGGTAAGATCGGGAATGGTGTACGATAAAGTGCACTTTATTCTGGCTGGGACATTCGTTGGTTGGTGGGCTGATATGCAATTATGTCAGGAACTAACGACTTAGTTTGATCTATGCAGGCCAACTGTAAATCTTTGGATGTTTCCCTGATACAAATTACACAATGATCACTGGTTGATGAGTGGGATTGATGGCCATGGGCGGATTCGAGGAAATGTAGTTTTAAAGGCATATTAAAGCGAGTAATTAGTTTGGTAATAGCTGGGCTTCATGTTGATTCAGGGCTGAAAAATGGCAGTTCTCGAGTCGCAAGTGGAAGATGGGTAGATCGTGCATATACGTACATGGGTACCAATCCGAGGGAAATAAATCTGACATAGTCTATGGGCTTATTGGTGTGAGACCCTAGACCCGAGGAGTCTGACCATTATAGTAGGCTATCCACAGGAATCAGAAAGAGTAAAGCCAAGCTTGAATGATGACTGCCTCTATATCACTTAAGAACTCCATGCTCCGGAAACGCTGGGGTCGATACGACTCATACACACAGTACTTTTTGGGAATTGATTGACCATTAATTGAGCTCTGATGCAGATAGAGCTCAATGCTCACTGAATCAAAATATAAGAGTGATATGGTGTATTATTTACTTAACGTTCGATTTTAAGGTTCGGCCCCTAACCCACATGTGTTGGGGCATAATTTGCCCACTCATAGCTCAAATATCAATGATTAATGAGTTGTTTTAGTACGAAAAGAGGGCATCGAGATTCAAAACAGAATGGAGTCGGAGATCTTCCTGCGCCGACTAAATGAATGGTGAAGAATTGTCTGCTGATCTGTGGTTAGGGTCGTTTCCTGTAATTCTTTATACGGGCAGGAATTAAGCACGAAAAATTGCAAACCAATTTAGGTATTGTGGGGTGACAAAAGTTCTCGTGATTTTCGCATAGCAACCAGCAGGGGGATTGCCAAAAGACCAATCCACAAAGTCGGCAATTGGAATTTATACCTAAGAGGTATGTTCCTATCAATCTTAAGCTCTCCAATCATGTAGCTATCTCCTGAATATCTTTTGTAGTTGTGGAGTTATGATACATCGACGTACAAAATCACGAGAACTTTTATCACCCCACAATACGTTATAGTACCTATTTGAGAGATCTCCAAATAATAGGAAGAGTATAAGCATAAAACTAGTGCTATGTAACTCTTGCAGTAACCTTATCCAGAACTTTACGTAAATAAGCCTTCTATCTACATGTTTTCTCAGACTGTGTAAAATAATCCTGACTGAGTTGTTAATTTATATTTAGCTTTGAAGAAACTACACGTGTAACTTTTTCGAACGTTAAAAATCCTAGAGACCTTTTGTCTTCCAAATTCATGAGAGGTTTGGGAGCTCTCTATTAGAGCTGTTTATAGTTTGTTGAATGCTAGATATGTAAAAGAGGGATTTAGAGACCGATCGTCAAGTCTGATATTACGCATAGGAAGGAATCAATTAATCTGTTCAAAAACATTGCTTCTATAGAAAGTGCCGGCAATGCCAACTTATTACAATGAAGATTGATAAGTTGTTTGTCAAGCCTTGCATGGATTATGTGTGCAGGGAACAGAAAGAGGGTTCTATGGTACTGCCTGCAACTTTTGTGGGGGTTTATATCCGGCCGAATCTTTTTCACACCATGAATTATGTCATATAGAGGACAGATAAGGCGGGCTAAACCCAAATTTCTTTCTTTAATTCATGATTATGAGATTATTAATTCCTGGTTTTCCTAGCATCTCAAGCTTAAGGAGCTCGCTGAAACCTGATACTAAGGATGGAGCGAAATCTTGAAGTAGGAAGGTTACCGTAGCATGAAACAAGACGAGACGGAACCAACCTAATTTTCTCGATGTAGTCATGGACATGCAGGAAGACTTTTGTACCTACCTATCTGCTATTATGTCATTCTCATTATGACGGGAATTATTTAGGGAACATATCACCAGATCGCCGTTTCGTTCCCTATGGCACAACGAGCCAGCCATACCACGTTACTTTTGTATCGATCTTACTGTGTCATGAAGTGCAGTATACCAGCGGGCTAGTAGCACTCTGGTCATGTAGCCCGTACTCGAGAAGAAATCCTGCATTCGAATACCATTGAAGTGCCTGTTTCAAGTCGTAATACAAAACTAAGGCTTATAAAGGGTGTAGAGACAAGTCAAATATGTATCTTATTGCCCTTCTCATATAGTCTCGTAAAAGCTTGTTATACATGCATGCATGCAAGGGGAGTAGGTACAGATTTTCTTTTCAGGGTATGGGGAAAAATATTTCCACATGCAAAATTAAACGAAAAAAAAAAAAAAAAAAAAAAAAAAATTCCACGGAACATATACTGTACCGGCGATCGATTGATATTATTTGGCGGCGGAGTATTTTCTTTTGCTTTCTTTCGAGCGGGGTTGTTTTTGAACTCCCGTGTGCGGTGCAGTGCAACACGAGCACAAGAGTGCACTCTTTGGACTTCTGTCGTTTATAATGCCTTCTTCGGGAGGGTTGCAATCGAAGCGCACATGCAGTACCAGGGAATCAAGGTAGAAACCGTACTCAAGTAATTTATTAACCCGCTTAAGTAAGAAATATTATGTATAATAATCTAGTCACTATTAGCTGGAGGAATGTAGCAACACCCACATTCTTATTTCTGACAAGATCCATTCATTCGGTCGTGTACCCCGAGATCACGTGGCTCCCAGTGGTACAAACCAACCATGGATCAGCCTTGCCTAAACAATTATTACTATTGATTGAGATTCCGAAGAGGTTAGTACAGTACTGGGCATGGGGGTTCGGAGTTACTATGCATCTTGGTGATGTCAGCCCTACAAAGGGTAATAACCCTTCCTCTCTTAATATGGATAGGGAATAGTCAGCCTGAAGCTTTGACCCTCATGCTCGGAGGAAACGATCATATGAGTATTATACGGACGGTTCCCACAAAATGCGAGATCACGGATGAATTGGTAGGCAAGTTTCCTTGACCCAAGTATCGACCCATCCCAGGATTATAGAACCTTCTAGGCCCAGGCCAAGGAGCAGGAATTTGTCTTAGCCAGTGAAATATAAATGACCAAGTTTGTAAAGTTGAACAACTCACTCCCGATGTTAAGGTGATATGAACATGCAAGGATAGGTCTAAAGGATTAGTTGTCCTAGTGGCGTGAGAGATGGAGCAATGATTTGGAATAATTCCTCTGTATGCGATCGTTGATATCCTTCGTCAAAACCACATATACGTGCACTATCAACTTTAAGTGAAGGTGCCTATCCGTCATCACTCACGGACCCATGGTGGGTTTTGAACGATTCAGACTGGAATCGGAATCGGAATCGAGCCAGGCACTAATAATATATCATATACATTGCCAAATGTGAAAGAAAGACTCGTATTCACGTATCGGAACAATCAATGTTTTAGTGCATCACATATTATCACTCGCTCGTGGCAAACAACAGTAGTCTCGCCTATTGTTCCTGAGTTCATCCTATGGCTTTTACAAACGGCCATATCGAGGAGTCTGTTAGAGATGATTGGGTGATCGAAGGCTGACTGACGGTAAATTGTTGCACAAAAGCAGATCAACCGTCAGTTTGCTGAATGTATTAAAAGATTAACCTATGCAGGCGTCCGTATCGACACGTATATGAAGATGGGTCTTAAAATACATGTTAGACCACGCTTGGGAGTTAGCTTGATACTGTTAAAATCAAAATTTAACCTTAAACAGGTCCACAAATAGACAAAAAGGACAAAGAAAATCCCACGATACGTCTAGGTGGGCATGGGGCTGTCTTCGGGGGAACTCACCTTAGTTCTCACCTAATTAGATTTTTAACACTCTAGTGTGGATGTGTAAAGATCGCCAACGCAGGCCTCAACATTAGATAGATTGTGGAGAAGCAGGTGCCAAGATGCAATAGTTGCTATCAATAGTAACACACCTACAACCATTCAGGTCCGTATTACTCCACCAAGCAATATTTTCTACAAAGTGCAAAAGTATACGATACTAGTGCATTCTTCAAAGAAGCCCACTATATCTTGACAAGATTAATAGAGTTCGCTTGAATTTGTCAAATTGATTACTGAGCGACAAAAGTGATTATTCTGGACATACTAAATCTTCAACTTACCGAATATAACTACAAGTACTGGAGGATAGTAAATGCTAGAGGTAGACCCCGAGTGTATATAACACTGATTTAGTAGTGTTTTCTAAAGATGCGAGCAGTGGATATGATAGTATATGCCTTTGCGAAGATACGTCTAGCGGTGTGCGCCCAATCACCTTACCGTTCGGTACCTGTTGAATCGCGGGGGAAGATGAGTATTCAACTTCCTCGGGATTATCTCGCGATCGACGGTAGTGTGCCAGCGGTACCTCGCCTGATCTCAATAGAAGCTTAAATTTAGCATAGAAGTGGCTATGTGGTTGTACATAGGTCTCATTGGCCATTGGATGGAGGTGTACCAAAATACGGGGGTAAGCGAATGATGAACGAAACCACCTCAGAGGTTCCGTACGGAGTAATCCGTTTGAGCTATTACACGACTACAAATCAAGTAAAAGTGCCCTACTACCTTAATATTTACGTCCGAGAACGTAACCCGAGTACTAATATGAGGTTTACAGAGATCGCACTCGCGACAGCAGGTATTTGGTACCCGAAAATGCAACCCGCTCATATGAAATTTCTCTATAGATCTACCGGATAGTCAGTAAAAAAAAAACACACCTCAGAGCTGCATTTTCTGTTACCTATTGCCCGCCGCGAGAATAAAACGGTCGATTCCCATCTGTGGCTTTCTGCCAGGAGATACAGAATTTCAAGTACTTTTTAGTTCCATGGAGCAACCTGGCACACCCAAACAGATGCGAGTTGAGGTAAATGTAATCATATCATCCTCGTAGTATTGCAATTGGGTTGTCGTTTTGGGTGCATCAAAGTGTCCTTTGCTTCCCGTGTAAAAGTGCAACAAGAGGCACTATTTTCTAAGATAGTAGTACGACAGCTGAGAGAGAAAAAAAAGTGTTGTGGGTATTCAAGGCAAAGCTTGAGTGATGGTGAGCATCGCGCGGAGAGGAAGCAAGGTTTCTCGAATATTAGTAGTATTAGTTGGCTCATGTGATAGCTAAGACCAATATAGGAAACCCGTGAAGCTTTTTACCATGAAACGGGTCCTATCAATACGATAAAAACGCCCTACCATGATTAATTAGAAATAGACTGCACTACATGTGATATGCCCACAAGCTGAACTTACTTCACAAAGCATCACTCTGGTGCACATGATGATCGTGTCAAGATGGATGGAACACTCGAAAGGCCTCCTTTGTACCACATAAGATCCTCTGAGAGACATCATTAGCTAGTAGTAATTGTTTTAGGCTTACTGGGAGGTAGTTTTATTTCTTCGCGGGCGATATGTCTAGCCATTGGAGGCTACAGACAAAGGAACTGAAGGTAAGCTGGACACGTCATAAAAAGAGCTTAATGCAAACGTGTAGCGCCATTGAGCTTTGACAGTGAGTGATACGATGCGATGAGTGAAGGCCCATCGCAGCTTTCCATATTGCATCGAGCAAGCAGTGTGCTACCAATTAGAATAGTTTTTCCTGATCTAGTGACGTTCATTGAAATTAGAATTCAATCCTCGACGTATTCTTCTAAATGGTGAAAGGAAAACTATACGGAAGTTCTTCAATGAGAGAATTCGCCTGGATAGCATGTATGATGTCGATTAACCTTGAGTCCAAATTTCGGGTGCCTCGAGAAGCCTAAATCTGATTGGTTCACTAGTACGAGGCTATTTTCGTGTTTCCACTAGTGGTGTGGAGTAGAAATGTACCGACAGGAATCAGCCGCAACTATCGTGAATTGTCGCCCCACCCGATAGAGATCGAGCTTCTAGTGATCCCGACGTAGTTGACCGTGCGCGTGGTCCCTAGAATATACTCATACCATAGAATATCCACCTTGATAGTCGTGAGAAATAATATAAAGACCCGGTCCTCGAGCGCCCTCAATTGATATCCAGACAACCAGCCCTCAACTGAGTATTCCAGAAACAACATCTACAACTTCAACAACCACAGAGACATTCAAGATGGCCCGGTACTCTTTCTTCTCCTACTTCCTACTTTTTTTCCTCATCGGAATCTACACCACCCAAGCCTTGAGCGTCGGCAACGAAGGAGGTCTTGGTAAGTAACTTTCAGTTCGCACTATACCGTGGGAAATACTGATCTTGATTTCCATCCACAGAAAAAAGGCAATCTTGCCCGTACGATCAGAAATGTGGATACATGTGCTGCAAGCCCGACGAGAAGTGCGAAAACAACAAATGCGTTCCCAAGCCACCAAAGTGCGATACCTACGGTGGAGAGACTGTCTGTGGCAAGTTCTGTTGCAAGAAAGACGAGAAGTGCGAAGACAAAAAATGCGTTCCCAAGAAACACTGCGACCACGGCCAAACAATCTGCGGAAAGGATTGCTGCAAGCCCGACGAGAAGTGCGAAGACAACAAATGCGTTCCCAAGAAACACTGCGACTACGGCCAAACAATCTGCGGAAAGGATTGTTGCAAGAAAGACGAGGAGTGTAAAGACTACAAATGTGTTCCCAAGAAACACTGCGACTACGGCCAAACAATCTGCGGAAAGGATTGCTGCAAGAGTGACGAGACATGCGACTACGGCGTGTGCAAGAAGAAGTGTCCCTATGGGCAGGTTATCTGCAACGGAAAGTGCTGCGCTGGAAAATGCGAGTATAATGTCTGCAAGACCTAGGGTGTTTACCGTTACTTCTAAGTTTTGGGAGTAACACGAGGTCTGGTTTTTCTTTGAACAATGTTCATTACCAGTGTTTCTTTTCGTTGATCGCTGTCGGGGGTAACTTCATGTTTTGGTGGTTGGAAATTTCCTTATAACGACTCACTGGTTTTCCTTTACTGTACGGTCGAATGAAATGAACATTTTAACGGTGACTATCTGAAGTTCATCTGTAGACTCCATGACGATATTCATCTCCGATTGGCTCTGACAGTGGAGCTTCTTTCGGATCCGAGTGAACTATTTCCGATTCAAGAGATAGTATAGGTAAAGGTGAATGGTCCGCGATGGCGCGATCCACTATGAAATTTATCGTAGGCGCGGGGAGATAATTTCTGCAGAATGAATCTCTTAGCCCTTGGATGCCATTTGATCTGATTTTGGGTTTCTGGGTGATAACGAAGCTCATGAAGTGGAAAGTAGATACGCCTAGAGTGCGTAGTGTTAGAGGTTATTTAAGAGTGAAGTCATAGAAACGAAATAGAGAGGTAAAGGGGCTGAGTGTCATCTTATAGCGGAGGTTGGGTTATGGGAATGGCGCGAGTTTCGGGTTGATGTCGTTTTATCTCCAGATATGGCGTTATCACTGTTGTTTCCGCAATCTCATCTCTACCGCGGGCCAGGAGTCAGGGTCTTTTAAGCAGGATGGCTCTGGCACAACACAGGAAGAACGCATACGCGTCCTTCGCAGATCTCAACCCATTCTAGGGCATGTCCCGCATCAAAAACCTGGTACATGACGAAGACTGTTCATTAGAGCAAATACATGTAGTAAATAGCAAATCTCTCGGGATTTACAGCTGCAGCTCGACCCTCATCCTGGGTAATGGAAGGACATGTAATCTCTGGCGTTCCTTCTTGCTCTGTTGTCCGAACGAAAGCTGCGCCCATCCCAATATTTCCAATTGACCATGGAGGCATGTAACCATTGGTAGGCTCTGACGAGTACTTGGGAGGTGATTGTCTTCGTGGTTTGGCGCAGTGTTCGGGTTGCCAAGAGATCAGCATCCATCATGATAAGATGAGATAAGATAACACCTACACCCCCCCCCCCCCCACAAAGGTTCCAGACACCTAAGGCTCCGTTTGGAACAGGCAAATAATGGTTGCAACGACCCAAATCATGATCCTGGACACGATTGGGATTTGGCGGATTTTTGACTGTTTGGATACCCAAACCGTAATTTGGCCAAATTCCGATTTGCAACCAAAATACAATTGGTGGGGATTGTGGTTGCGACGCTGCCATTCCTCCAGACAGAACCTTCGCGGTTACATACGTTCAAGCTGCCTTCAAACCCGAACTAAGTAAGAATATCCCAATAGATGAAGTATCAGCGCCGGTAGAATTTGATTAAGTCAGCCAGCAGTCCCTTCTAAATTCATAGATAAGATCACTGGATAAAAAACACCGGTAAGTAAAGCTGCAATGACAGGATCTCACTCGATAACAAAGGCCCTAGCACAATCCTACGATATGTTATTGATCATAAAGGAGTCTATAATTGTAAGTTTTCGTATTATTCATCGGCCTGGTGGTTGGAATATGAAGATAGAAGGGAAGGACTACATAGCGAAACAGGCTGGGAATCACAGGATATCACTCGGCATCCACGCGAAAATAGTCTCCTCTGGAGAAAATGCCTCTGAGGGTCCAATCAAAACACGGGAAGTCAACTCCGAGACAAGAATTTAAACTCAATATGTTCCTTGGAATACACAACGAGATGGACTTTCATGCTTAATTTTAGTTTTCTGGCTCAGAAGCCATAACTCAACCCTTCCTGCTCGATTCGTCGCTTCCAACTCTCTATGTGCGGTTTGGGTCTGGTAGGTGGCCGATTCTCTAGACATGATTTATATGACTTCTACATTCATTCAATCTTTCATTCTATTTTGCTCCTATATGGGATAGGATGCTAGAACAATGTTTCAGGGGGTGATATTTTTGGGGGATTGTGGTTCGCACGGTATCGTGCCTACCAATATTATTAGGATAATGAAAGACTCTAATAGCAACTGCGGATGGAGCTGAGTCACCTATCAAGAACCTCCCATGTATTGTTTGCTGTACTTGCAATCATTCAGTCCATGCATGTGTTCGAGGGATATGGCGCGTGCGGGGCTTGGTAAATCGAGGAGAAATTCTTACTCACGAGTTAGTACGTTGGGCACTGGTATTCCTCCCGCCCGCGCCGGTGTTGTCGTGGATAGTGAGGCGAGGTAGTAGAAGTAGATGTGAAGGTTAGTGGAGACAAGGAATGGCGGATATGATGAATAGGAGGCTTGGGTAGAGAGAGGTTGGATAGTTTAGGTATAGATGTACTAGGTGTAAGTAATGTATGATACTTGTATCAATGGGCGTACGTAGACACGGTGGGTGTTCAAGGATGACTTCCTGATATGTTTGATGAGTAATCTCGTGTCCCTTCCGTCAATCATGATAGTGCACTTAGGCGGTCATAGAGCAGAAGATTTTGCGGTTTTGTTTTTGGGTCCCTGGTGACAAAAGGATGTATTCCTAACCTTAAGCCAAAAGGTTGTGCTGAGATTAAGTCTGTACACCCCAAAATTTGAGTTTCTACCTAGGTACACCGATATTCAGCCGGCTTGTCATGATCATACCTTATCACTCGGGTGTCGAGTGATAACATATGATCAAAAATTCACTGGGTCCTGGGTATACTTATGCAGGTGTATTTCCGCACCAGAAATGAATCAGACAAGCTATAGATCACGAAAAGGCATCAGGAAAAACAATTGGAAAGGAAAAGAAAAAAAAGGCATCATGGCTTCTTCGCTGGCCATATATCACTAGAGTGTTATTTCCACACAGGAAACGAATCAGATAAACATGCAAATAAATCAATCTTTGCTTTTAACTACGGCCCTCTAGCCCTGGAAACAAGTCAAATCTATTCTTTCGCATCAAGATCGTCCTCATCCGAAGAATTAGAGGTGGAGTAGCCTTCCTCGCTACCGATGGTAAAATCAAATTTTGTTTCAGAATCTGGGGATTGGCTCAAAGTGCTAATGGGGCGGTGCACAGTACTCCAGAAGAGTTCCGACGGCGCTTGATAATTTTTCCAGGAGGGTAACTCCTCCCATGACGAGGGGCGCCAGCTTCGGTCACAAAATTCCGTACTTCTTTCGTGTTGGGGCACGTAACATAAAGGTGATCTGTAATAACCCGCTTTTTGGGAATCACCGCCCTCGTCATCGCGTAGAAAGTTGCAGAATGTGCGGAGAGGTTCCTGTAGGTATAGTCTCATCTCAGGGGTGCCGCAGTATTGCACGTGACGATGCTCTCTCTCGAAAATCAATTCCTGATTTGTATCTGTACACCCAAACATTTCGCACGGTCTTTCTATCATCCCCGATACCGCCTTACTGTGATGAGAGCGCAAGCGGCTGCTTTCCTCCCCTCTGTGAGGGGATCTGCTACCCAAGTGTGACCCATCCATGACTCCCAGTCGAAGTACTTCATGTGGCGCTCGGCCATATAAAATTGGCCACACCTGTTCCAGAAGATGACGCCAAAACTACCTTGCTTCACAATCTCGGTTATGCAGTCCCTATGATTGTAAAATGCCGCCAAATACAGAGGATGCTCCTCTCCAACGATAGAGCTCACGCTGGCTGCAAACAGGGGGAGAAATTGTCGCAATACCCCCACATGCCCGCCCTCTGCGGCTGCGTGCACAGCGCTCCCATTATACTCAGGTCCCATTGACGCCACATCGGCGCCGTGGTAAAGGAGTAGTTGTACCGCTGCCATTTGCCCATGAAAAGCCGCGGCCTCCAACGGGGTTACACCATAATGTATGACCGGGTAAGCAAGGGCGTTTACATTGGCTCCAAGAGCAATAAGCCGTCGCATGATTCCAGTATACCCACCTACTGCTGCGATATGCAACGGTGTTTCCCCTAATGAGCCACAGCCATGCTTAGGTTCCGGCAACCCACTGCACTTAGCCAATCTTTGGGGGGAACTAATGAATAATGGGAAGGGGAATAGGCCTTTGACCTTGGCACCATTATCGAGAAGAAGATGGACGAGCTGCTCACTACGGCCCCCATCATGCATCATGCATAGTATCGCGTGCTGAAGTGGGCTTTGGTTGCGCACGAGGCGGATGCTTCCGTGTGTCCCGGACGTCAGGTCGTCGCGCAGCACCCAAAGCTCTTCGGTGCCTCGCAAATTACAATCGGCGCCATTATCGATAAGAGCCTTCACTGTTGCCAGACTTCCCACCCGAATAGCAATTAACATATGGTGATAACAGTGGGAATTGGGTTTTGTGCCATTGTCAAGGAGTAGTTTTATTATAGAACCCCGGCAATACGCAGCTGCCAGCGCTAAGAGATTGAGTCTACTACAATCGATCTTGTAATCCGGGTCGGCGCCATGCTTAATGAGATGAAGAACAGCTTGTTCGTGGCCTGTAGCGATCGCTACAGCAGTGGTTTTTGAAAGGGTCTCTTTGCGATCGAGCTGCGACGAATTAAAATAGTAATCAACGTCCGATGCTGACGCCTGTAAAAAATACTCAATGTCGGAAGTCATCCCCTCGCGTAAGCAAATAGCTAGTGGGTACGCTGTAGCCCTAACAGATTCGAGTTCCGCAATTGAAATGTTGCCAATTAGAATCTCTGGTATATATTGAGGTAACAATCGACTCAACCGTCTTTGATTCCACGCTAGATCCTCCGCAGCGTCAGGCCATGCTACAAACTTCATTGACTCGGGCCAGTTGAATGCGGCCAGCTGACGACTTCCTTCCACGTCCGCCAATGATGCATGCCTTGGCCAATGTTGTGTCGCATATTCTAAGAATTGAGTAAGGCTCTGCTTATAACAAGCGGTAAAGTCGGGATATGTTACGGCGGTAATACACACACGGGCGAGATATCTTTGGGCCTGACGAGGGTCGATCCGCGGCGTTGGGTTGGTTTCATCGGTTGCAATGAAATACTCCTTTACTGACTGATGGATGAGTTGAATTATACCAGTCTCTATAAATTCGAATGTGACAACCTCAACAAGCCCGCCGGATAATCTCCTTATACGCGCCTCCATTTGGCTCAGTTCGGGGATAGAGCCTGAGCCACAGTCACGGGTGGACTCCAGAGGAGCATAACTAGTTGAGGAGTCGATGGCAAGCGCCCAGCGTAATTCGGAAAGTGTGAGGGTCTTTTAGCTAGTAGGGCCCATTGTAGTACTTTTTTGGTTTCATCTCTGTCCTTCTTCTTTTTCCAGCTCGTAAAATATCCGATCATAGACGCCCTTAAGATCTTCCGGGATTTCACTTAAAACTCGTTCTAGTTCCGGGAAGGTGCTGCCATGTGCCATGTCTCTCAGCTCGGTCAAGACAAGCCTTGCCCAAAGGAAGACCCCTTGGGCACGCTCAACAATTGATCTCGCAAGCCCATTTACGTCCTTCAGGGGATGATCAAGGCCTAGGCTCACAATTTCACTGTTGATGTAGCTATTAATATCTGGATCGTTCTTTTTTTCGAGCTTTATAATGGAGAAGAGCTTCATGTATCTACTAAATCTGTCATCGTGCCGACTCGTGAGAAACATTCGAGGAGTTAACTCAAGCTTCGAAAGTTTGTAATGGATAAAGTCCAAGAGTGTGAACTTGGATGTATTCTGACATTCATCTATGGCATCTGTTACATATCAGTTTGAGGGTATAATCTTTGCGCGGGATTCTTGTAAGGTACCTATAACTATTCGAATTGAGCTCACATGGGAACTTTCAATCATCGAGATGAGTATCTCTTTGATATCCTCAGTATGCCATATTACTTCCGCATTCTGCGCTTTCCCAAGTTCGTACTCAGGAAGGATGTGCTCAGACAATGCCGGTATTTGTTCCAAGAGTTGATGTTGAAGTGAGCGCAAACACCCTGCCTCTGGCTCATCTAGATCGCCGCCTCGGTCGCTGAAGAAAAAACTGAGGTCGCTTCACCTGGCTTTTTAGTCAAATGCTGAGTCGATTTGTTCAAGCACCCAAGGGTGTGTTTCGAGAGTGTCGACTTCCCCGACCCAGCCTTTCCCAAGACCCATACGAAATGAGTTTTGGATTTAAACCAGCCGGAAATAGCGGGGTCTGTGTCTAACCAGCCCAGGGTAGATTTGTGGGATTTTTCAATCGCCGCACGGCGATTTCCCGAACCTGGATAATCAAGGGTTTTCAAGCAATCTTTATACTCGGGCGTTATGTAGAAGGGTTCTGAAGCCAAGCACAAGTCAGCAAACATTACTGAAGGTTGACCTAATAAGGGCTTCTAACTAACCGCTTTGGATATTGCCCACCATCCTCTTGATCTCTCTCAATACTAATTTGTAGTTCTCATCTTGTGGCGTGGCATATTTATTCATTCCAACATGGTTGGCTTCTAAAGGCAAGCTTGCCGTGCTGGCAAAGGTGCTGGAATTCTTGTCTACCGCCTGGTATAAGGTCAATTAACAACCAATATTTCACGTCCAGGAGAGATTTTGAATCTTACTAGCAGCAACGGGAAGTGCCCGACTCCTGTCATTTGCATTTCGAAAAAAATTTATGAGATCTCGCCTGCCGTATCCCTGGAGAAACGAAATATTGAGTTCTCTGAGGGACTCATCCCCTGGCTGTAGAGATTCGAGTAATTGTGTGCTAGATCCGAGCCAATAAGTGGTGTAGGATATGAGTTTCCCTACGGAGGTGAGGCGTGATCCGTCGTGGGGCACACCAAGAAAGATTGCACCGAGCATTGATTTCTCTATCGATTGAAAGAGAGGATCGTCGTTCTTTCTGCCAGCGGTTACCAATGCCTGATTGGAAGATGTTAGTGAGGAATTTAATTGATAGTAAAGGAAGCTATTTAGTCCTCATTTGCTAGCCATGCATGCCGCTCAGCTTCTCGGTTAATTGGAATACATCTCAGGGGCGATCAACAGAGGAGGGTAGACCAGCTTCGACGTTCTGGCCTACGCGCTCTACTGAGCAGGCATAGAAACTTCAGAGGTCGTACCTTTTTGATTATTATACCACCAAAGCTATGTTCAATAAATATTATTGGCCGTTTCATTTCCTATAAATATTAGGTCACATCCAAACAAAGAGTGATATGACAGTGATGTGACGACTAACTTCTGCGGTATCACGCCTGGTATTTAGGACATGTAAAAGCTGTTCTCCACAGACCTCCACAGACTTTACCGGAGCATCCATACTCCATGCAGAACTATGATCGAAAGCCATTATACGCGCTTGGGGGAAGGACTGAGGGAGAAAGTCTCTCAACCACATGGCTCCGGTCTGTTCATGTCGCCAAGCCCAGTCGGAGTTAGAACCCAGCCCGTGTACGGCAATAATACTCCGCGATATTAGTACAACGGGACCTCATCGAGGGAGGAATGTGGACTTACTCCACCAAAGCCTTTCCTTCATCTTCCTTCGGTTGGTGGTGGATGTCAATGCCTGTCGAGCTCTGAGCTAACGGTTTGGACTTTATCCAGAGGATTTGTAGCGGCGAAAGAACAAGTGCAAAAATGTGGAGAGAAATATATGTAAAGGACAGGACACACCAAGGTATAGATGACAGATCGAACTTTTCCAAAGACATCCCCAAGGCTGCTGTAGCGATTAGAACGCCGCCCAAAGCCTCGGCTGAGAGGGGCAGGTGACGCATAAGAAGCTGCCGAGTAACAGAAGAGTGAGATCCCACATATTCCCTCTTGCTCTGATAGTTTTTCTTGGCTGTAAAGATGGTCGATTGCTTGGATGGTAGGAACTCTGTTGATGGAGTCCAACTTGGGGGGATAAGAGTCCGTTTTAAATACCAGCATACATAACCGTCTTTATTTTACGCGGCTGATACTGCCTGATGAAGAGCTGATTAGACAATCTAGGATTTAAAGTGATCGAACGAATAATCTACACATCATGGCTCCCGATCTTAAAAGCTTTAATTTGGGATCCCTCCGCATTCACAGCCGCCACAAACCAGTAAAATTCCACTTAGGCCTGTTACTAAATCCTTGGCACAAAGGTCTGATAGAAGTCTCGGTATTTCCCCATCACTTTCTACCAGAAAACCTTCGATATCTTTAAATCTGATTGGGCTGATATAATTAAAATAACCCTTGGCAGCCAAGTAGGCACTTGGACAGTTTTGCAGCGCAACCTCCTCAACCGATTTTCCACCCCTGTTCTTTTCGAACTTCACCAAAACTTCTTTGAAAGCTTCGAATCAGTACTCAGGTGAGCCTGTGAGCAAGGGCTATTGAGTGGTTATTTCTTCCGCATTTTTAGGAAAATATTTGAATTTTTAAGTGAAGATAGATAAAGGGTCTCGGTATTTTTTTTTCCTCCATATAAATTTTGAGGCCAAGGCCAAAATTCATTGGCTGCTTTTGGTTGCCATGGGCGTTTCCCATACAAAATCAACCAATCCTTCAAGGCCTCTCGGTACACGACAGGGGAGCTTGGATGTTGTATAGTTCTAGGCCATAAATCATGGGAAGGCGCGGCGTAGCAACCTCCCAGGCCACCACGACTACCCACCCAGCAACCACAATTGATCCTTTGGAGAGCTGGTTTTTTGTACAGTTGTTAAATAGTAGCTAAATAAAAATAATTTGACATTTAATATCTTGTGTACTAACCCCTTGCCTTTATAACAGCTCTATTCTCCTAGGCATGCTCTCAACTAGCTACCAAAGAAATCATCAGGTAACAGTTCCCAGCAATGAATTAGACCTTCCTCCATGAGGGGCTTTAATACTTAAGGTGATCCAGTACCATATGCCAAATGGGGGTACTGTTGATGGTAAAGCTTCTTGAGGTGTACCCAAACATGTTCAATGAGATGGAATAGGCAAGCCAGTCCTCCAGAACATCTACCCTATTCCCCTCCAACCAGAGTTGTAAGACTCCGGTTTTTTGCCACAGCAGGGAGGCTGGTCATTCCCTCCTAGCTGTCTGGCGGGGTACATGGTCTCTGGGCGCCATCGGTGGTGGTGAAAGATTTTGTGTTCAGGCGTTGCGACTTCGCGCCTTCCCATGACTTATGGCATGGCGCTGTACCTACGCCTACAGGATGCAGGCCCAATGAACAAATAAACAAGTATAAACTATGCACCGAGCGGGTTGCCAGGCTAATTCTGCAGGTACACGTATGACCTAACTTCTGTGTTCACCTGTTGCGAGTGCAAATATCTATGTATGTTGTTTTGTGAGTAGCTGGGGCCCCGCTTCTTGTGTTTGTTTGTGATAATTCTAGATCTTGGCGGTTGCATTAGGATTCTTTGCGCCAAGACTCCTAGATCAAGACCACATTTTTTTTTTTTTTTTTTTTTTGTTTAATTCATACCCGCATGCAACCTGTCGGTTATGGCGGAGCACTCAATCTACAGTACAAGTACAGGGTTTCACCCTTTATGCCTACTAGTCGCCCCTTTCAGCAGGATGTGGAATACCCCAACCGGTTCAAGGCCAGCACTCATACCTAGTCACACTCCATCACCAGTCCGCATGCCCTATTTGGGCGCCGGGTACATGGAAAACTCTCCCCAGGAGCAGAAACCATCCCACATGCCAAGCCAGGAAAAGAACCCACGATTAATATCCCCTGGGTCACCGCCCCCTACAGGATTCGAACCTGCGACCTCGCCCACCCTCGGAAATTTCCTCATCGGGAGAACTCGGCCACCTGGAATCCTACCCACTCGGCCATCCAGGGGGGATCAAGACCATATACTTAACTCCATATATACGATCTTATGAGTAGGGGGATGTGTAGTATGGTGGGCGCGCCGGTCATCTATTTGTTCCCTTAGGCTTGAGTGATTGATACCAGACGGGATGAGACTCAATTCATCGTGGCGCGCATGGCCGGTTCGTCTTTGGATGTTAATACTATAGAAGTTCCTGTTTTTATTGGGATATGTCGGTCCTCAAGAATGGGAAGAATATAGCTTTAATGTTCAAATGAATATGTGTTTATACCATGTAGATTTATGGCAGGCGCGAAAAGTGGCAACAGATACAAAAAAACTACTCTTTTACCCACTCATTGACAACATGCCGTGAAAGCGATTCTAAGTACATATACAACTGGTAAATGAGTCCAGATATCCATCGTTTGTTATTGTTTGGCGGTGCTAACGTTGGGAATTGACTTATAGCAATCAATTCCTTCCATCCAGCAATTGTGCGCCATTCTCCACAAGCAGTTGTACAAATTTGTCGTTCCCTCTCTCGACCGCAGCTTGCAAAGGAGTTCCATATTCTTCGTTTGAGATATTCACATCCACACCCTGATCTATTATCAACTGCGCAATGTCCGTATAATCATGGATAGCTGCGGCGTGTAAAGCACTTCCATAGAAACCCTCCTTCTGGTTGACATCAGCGTCATTCTGTAAGAGAATCCGAACAACACTCTCGTTCCCCCTCACAACCGCTGCTTGTAAGGCGCTTCCATAAGTTCCACCTGTAGTATTCACATCGGCACCCTTGGCTAGAAGCATCTGTACTATAACTAAACCGTTCCTGCTTATTGCTGCTGCCTGCAGAGAGCTTCCATAGGTTCCCCCTTTCAGGTTGACATCAGCACCTTTTTCGAGAAGAAGCCGCATGATAGTTTCGTTGCCTCTCTCGGCCGCTGCTTGCAAGGCGTTCCCGTAAGTACCACCCTCCAAATTGACATCAGCACCGTTGTCGAGAAGCATCTTGACAGTAAACTCGTGGCCTTTCTCCGCTGCTGCTTGTAAAGGGCTTTTATATTTTTGTTGTTCGGTTTGAAGATTCGGGTCTGCACCCTCCCTGAGTAACATGTAGACAATTTGCTCATGACCCCCCATGATTGCTGCTTGCAGCGGTGTTCCAAATTCTCCTCCTATAAGGTTTACATTCGCGTTCTTCTTCAGTAACAAGAAGACAATACTCTCGTGCCCTCTCTCAGCAGCTGAGTGTAAGGCACTTCCGTACCGTTCACCTCCCACTATATTCACATTACCGTCTTTCTCCAGAAGGAATCGCACAATCTCCTCGTAGCCTTCTGCGGCTGCAGCTTGTAACGCACTCCCGAAAAATCCTCCCTCCATGTCCGTATCAGCACCGTGCTCTAAGAGCATACGAACAATCTCCTCGTGGCCCTCCGCGGCTGCTGCTTGTAAAGCACTCCCAAAATCCCCACCCTCGAGATTCACCTCAGCACCGTTTACAAGAAACATCTTGACAATGTTGGTATACCCCCCAGCTGCAGCCGCTTGTAGGGCGTTTCCATAATCCCCACCTTTAATATTGACATCAAAGCCCTTATCAAGGAGTAATCGCGCCACTGACTCATGGCCTTGGGCAGCTGCTAACTGTAGAGCGCTTCCGTAATTCGAATCTTCGAGGTTTATGTCAAAGCCTTTGGCGAGAAGTAACAAAGCAATTTTTTCATGACCTCCCGCTGCCGCTGCTTGTAACGCGGTTCCGTATTTTCCACCCTTTAGACCTATATCAACATCCTTGGTAAGAAGTAGTCGAACAATGTTCTCATGGCCTCCAGCGGCAGCCAACTGCAAGGCACTTCCGTGTTCAAAACTGTCGAGATTAACATCAGCGCCCTTCTGAAGAAGTAGCCGCGCAACCTTCCCGTCGCCCCTTTCCGCCGCTGCTTGCAAGGCACTTTTATAATTTTCGCTCCGTATGTTCACGTCGGCTTTGCCCTCGAGAAGTAACATGACAGTCTTGACATGTCCTCTCGCAGCGGCTGCTTGCAAAGCACTCCCGAATTCCCCGCCTTCGAGGTTCACATCTGCGCCGTGTTCGATGAGCAATTGAACGATCCTGTCATGGCCTTCAATGGCTGCCGCTTGTAAAGCTGTATTAGACCTTCTGCCCTGAATGTTTACGTCGGCACCATGATCAAGAAGCATCTTTACAATACGCTCGTGACCTCTTTCAGCCGCTAGTTGCAAAGCGGTCTCGTCCTTTCTTCCTCGAAGATTAACGTCAATATCGCCTTGTAGGAGCATTTGCAATATCTTTTCGTGTCCTCTTCCCGATGCAGCATGCAAAGGGCCCCCGCGTCGCTCAGTGCTAAAATTCGCATCGGTGCCTTTTGTGAGAAGTAATTCAACACACTTCTCCTGGCCCCCGAAGGATGCTCCAATCAGAGCTTCTCCAAGTACCTGACGCTGGTGATCAGGGTCTGATTCAGTCTCAAGAGCTAAGAAGTGCTGGAAATCATCGAGTAAGCCGGTTTCGGATGCGACAGCCAATGGTGTCTTGAAGCTCATGCGACCAAAAGTCAACAGACGTAGGTTCTCCCTCCATGTGTTAAACTTATTGGTTTCAGGCCATTTAAATTTCTCCATTTGCCTTCCACCGACTGTTTCACATACCGCAAGTGATACATGATGAGTCCAGTATATCGTTGCGTACTCCAGAAAAGGCCGATTAGGCTCTCCGCGGGATAATTGGGGATAGCTAAGGGGGAATTCCGCAATTTCAGGAAAGGTCACATAAGTAAGGCAGACTCGTGCCAGATGGTTATGAGCCTCGGACGGGACGATCCAGAACGATGAGGTAGCAGAAACCTCCTTATTCAGAAGAAAGTCTTTTACCGACTGATGGATCAGTTGAATAGATTTATTGCTTCCATCGAGGTCTTCCGGTGTTCCTGTACGTATCTTGAATTCTAGTAACCCTCCACAGATCTTACGTACTTGCTTCTCCATTTGGGTTGGTGTCTTGATGAAGCCGCGCATTGAAGCCAGTGAGTCGAAATTGCGTGTTGGTGAACCGACAGCAACAGCGTAACGGAAGTCCGCCACCGTGAGGGGCCGTTCTCCGAATAGAACCCACACAAGTATTCTCCATGCTTCGCCCTTCGTTTCAGCATCCAATTTCTTAAAGATTCGATCGTAAAAGCCGAGCAAATTGTTTGGAATAGCATCGAGTGTCTCTTTCAATTCAAGAACAGTGCCCCCATCATCCATTTGTTCTTTGAGCTCTCTTATAACGAGAGTTACCCAGAGAAATACTCCTTGTGACCGACCTATCACGGTCTCCTTGAGATCTTTAATGTCATCAGCCTGGTAGTCCGGATCTTCGAAAAGACATTGTAGCTCGATGCCTGCGTACGCTTGGATATCGTTCTTGTTGACAACATCCAACTTTATCGTAGGGTACCGGTAACCTTTCAAGTAGCGTTGTATAGTCGAATCTTCACGACTGGTGATGAATATGTGAGGTTGTGATGGGTGCTCTCCAAGGCTCTTGAAAATCAACTTCAAAAGCCACTCTTTCTCCGTCTTGTCACACTCGTCGAGAGCATCAATTACAAAGAGGATCGATTTCGCCTCGGGGTCCCCTATCATCGCAAGAAGAGCTTTTTCGAGAAAGCTCAGAGGATATTTAGACGAGGTAGTCTCCGAATTCCTACTTCGATATTCAGGAATGATATGTTTAAATAAGCGGGGTATTTGTTGTAATATCTGGTAAACAAGCGATTGAAGGAAACCTCGTCTAGATTTTTCAAGCTCACTGCCTCGGTCGTTGAAGAAGAAGGTTGCAATTGCTGTGCCCGGTTTATTGTAGCGTCCCTCGCGTTGCATTACATGGTCCACGAGGTATTTGGAGAGTGTGGATTTACCAGCTCCAGGCTTTCCGGAGATCCAAATCAGCTGGTGCTTTTTATCTACCCAGTCCTGAAACGTGGTATCTGAGCTTATCCATTGGTGTGTGGATTCATCCGACTGTTCAATTGCCTCTCGACGGTCTTCTAATTGGTGGAAGAAGAGGGTTTGCAAACATTCTGTTCAATGGAATTTAGTTTACGAGCAACCCGCCTTAAGTGGGTACTTGGGATGTACTGTTTTGCTCATAGTTTAGAACCTTTGACTGCTCTACAAAAATCCAGCTGTTAGTCTCACACATTCGAGGAGGATATTTGATGAAATAAATTCAGGAGGAATATAGTCAAGCTACAGGTGCTCTGTGATACATGCTTCTCCTCCGGAACTTCTTCACGAACCTTGCTGAACCTTTTCCACCATTCTCTTGATTTCCGTAAGTACCAGCAAGTAATTATGCTCTGTCTCGGATCTGAACTTGTTCATCCCAATATGATCGGAATCCAATGCAATATTCGGTTTCCCACTAAAGCCACACGCGTCTTTATCGGCTGCCTAATATGTCATTACTAAAGCTGTCCCGCAAGAAGAGAGTACGAAAACCTACCAGCAGCAAAGGCACACCCCATATGCCCGACTTGAACGTTTCAAAAAAGCCTACCAAATCATACCGCCCATATCCCTTGAGAAATGAGTCGTTAAGCTCTCTAAGAGACTTTGCCCCAGGCTCTAGCGCCTCGAGGAGCTCTGTGCTCGAGCCAAGCCAATAGCTACTATAAGATATCAGTTTCCCAATTAACGTGAGCCGAGAACCATCGTGAGGTACTCCCAAAAATATCGCGCCCAGCATCGACTTCTTGAGAGCTACGTAGCGACTATCAAAACTTTTCTGTCCTGCGATAACCAATGCCTAGATATTGTTAGATCCCAGGTACGTCCCGCAGGTCCCGCCGGGAGAGACAGGAACCTTTTTGATTATTATACCCCCAAAACTATGCCCGATAAATATGATCGGACGATCCGTTTCCTATACAACAAGTTAGAACCTACAACCAACCTTTCGGGTAGCCTTGGAGATCTCTTCAATCCTAGTACGTACCGCACGAGATGTATTGAGAGCATCAAGAAGCTGCTGACCACAGACATCCACCGACTTGACCGGGGCATTGATGTCCCACGCAGAGTTGTGATTGAAAGCCATTATACGGGCTCTAGGACACGCTTTAGGTAGGAAGTGCTTCAGCCACATCGCTCCAGTCTCTTCGTGGGTCCAAGCCCAGTCGGGGTTCGATCCTAGCCCATGTACCGCTACGATGCTATATGTGATAGTCAACAAACACCATCCCTTTAAAAAGCAGTCTTTCATGTTCAACCCACTCCACACTTATATCCACCTTCTGCTCTACATCCGGATGGTGGACGAGGATGCCAGGGTTGACTTTGGACCGTGGTTTTGACCTGGGCAGGAAGTACTGGAGCGGCGATAGTGCGGCCGCAACTATGTTCAAGATGATGTAGAGTGTAGTGCCGATCCATCTAGACGTCAGAGACAGATCAAATTCTTGCAGTGCTATGCCCAGAGTTGCCGTGAAGAACAGGACGCCAGCCAAGAATCTCGGCTGTGAGTCGCTTGCGAAGAGCAGTAGGCAGCAGCCAAGAATCAGGAGCGTGAAGTTCCAGAGAGACATTTCGAAAGCACCACTATATATAGCTATAGTACTAGCGGCTTATATCGGTAACAGTAGGGAGGAAGACTTTGAATTTCGAGAGCTTGATATAATTTGAGATTTATTGTTTGGGGTTTCTGGCGATCGCAAAGTTAGGATGAATACACAAATCTTTCAGCCTCTTGATCACAAGGCTGTAGAAATGCCGCGCAGTGGTTACACAAAGCAAGTTATGTAGTGGCTGCAATCATTATGTGTACCGCCACAGAGCCACAGCTTACCATCCAATGTCTCATTCGATGTACAATCCACTCAGCAGCGGGTCCACAATAGTCTCATAAGAGGTTGGGGGCGAGCCTAGGTCCATAATCACTATCAGTGATCAAAGCTTCCTCGATGTGCCCAATCCCATCCTAGCCAAGACCCGACTAGCATGAGGCTAGTCCTAAATGATTTGTTCATCGATCAACACCTTGCGAGTGATATCCTGTGCGCAACCTTTACCGGACCCTTCGCTCCAACTGTTTTTTTTTTTTTTTTTTTTTTTTGTGGAGGGGTTATTATCTCCTACTCGCGTGTGTCCCTGGTGGCATGGCGGCCTATTTAACTTCAGGTACAGAACCTCCATCAATTCTAGAATTATCTACATCTCCGACCACGGCTAACTGTGAGACGTATTGTACAAGATTACCACGCCAACAACAGCAGGCTTCGTGGCCCGTTTGTATGAGAGACCGGAGAACATGCTTCCCAAACCGTCCGGAAGCTTTTAGGCCAGTATTATAGGCGCTCATTTACCCCTCCACGTCGGTTAATAGATTAGGACGTTGGGCCTGCGAGGGAGCTACTAGAAGTCTCGCTTGTCAAGGCCTCTTCATATCACCGCTCTAAGATTATCTGAGATTGCGCCCTCTTTGATTCGGAAAAATTGCTTTTTCATTCTTGTCCGACACTAATATTACAGCGACCAGCTTATCCGACTTGAACGATTTCGGTGGATCGCGTGTGCAATTACTTATATTGCTGCGTACCTATCGGTACTATTCGACTCTCCTCCGAGTCAGGAGCTACCCACAGCGCCATCCCATCATACGAGAATACTTACCGCGTTCTTCTACCTCGATAACACCAAGCCTACCAGGTGAATGAAGAGCGAGGTAGAATCTCGCTAATCTGAAGGCATTCTAGCTAGGTGGGGAGAGGGCAAAACGGCCGGCATGATCCTGTTTGCAGAACTGTATGCAGCGGGGCTGTCCCGAGTGATATTGTATGATTAACAGTGTAGAACTGGCCTTTGGTGTAGGCGAGTGCGTTTGAAACAGGTAGGACAGGCGATATCATCTGGGAACTAAGCAAGAGTATTTGAGCAAGACAGCACTCTGCGTGGGTGGAGGTGATTAGGAGTGCTTGACGGTGGCGGATAGAGGTGTTAGCGCGAGTGATAGTTGGTGATTACTAAATTGTAAGAGCTACGGGAGAGGAGGAAAGGGGACGCTGGTATCACGAACTATTATTTGATATACCGAGTTTATCTGCTATGGGCTTTAATGCATCAGGGAAATGTATACCCCCCCCCCAAAAAAAAAAACCTAAATTTATTACGGTAAAGTCATTCCAAATAACGTGTGTTGAAATGGTGTACTACTCTTACATACAAATAGAAATATTATATGGGAACCAGACACCGAAGGTGCACCACTGAGTTAGTAATTAAACCGGAAAACGCATCGTTAAATGAAGCAACAAATATGTACATCGATATACGAATGCCAGAATGCATCGGTAAATGCCCCAGCATCTGAACCATGAGTCAAGTACTGGATGTGGGAAGTACTATAACAAAACTGACCGAGCGCAGCAATCACTCTTACGAGTTGCGTGGAACAGCAACTGAGATACCAAATAGACCACTACTAAAAAAAATAATCAACTATAGCAGCGCAGCCATAGCCAACTACTGCTGATGGCTAAACGTAGTGCCAACTACTACTAGAAAGGTGGGAAGTACTACATTTACATGGGAGAGATTCTCAGCAGAAGCAAGACCTCCTGGTCGCGGAAGTGGTGGTGTGCACACGCAATTAATTATCGAGAGGCCAGCGCTGGAGTCGCAGCCATGCTAAAGTCTTGGCGCGAGTGAGCGCCTGTGATCCAACCTCCGTACCCATACCGTCGGGAAGAGAGCGCTATCAGTGTTGTCGATTCCGTTGCGTGCAGGTCGGCGGGAGATTGAAGAGTAGGCCACGATAGGAGTAAGGTTTCCGTCATCGGGTGTGCTGGTATCTTCTTTTGAGAGGAGGGCTAGGGGAGTACTGAACATGCGATAAGATATCACGAGTGCTTATAACTATCGTTCGATGGCTGTATTCGGTCTTGGTGCTATCTACCCGACCGGGAGTGCCCCTAAATCTGGTAGGTTACAGTATGTGTAATCAGATCGATTTGGCAATTCATTGACCAGATACCGAGCTCAACGATTATTCCTTGCGGGGAACGTACTAGCCGTGTGGCAAATCTGGAATACTGTGGCTTTCGCCGCCAATAATTGGAGGCATTCCGAAACTCTTATTCTACTTGTGTAAGGTAATAAATCGGACAGTCCTAGTGTTCAAAACGAATACATAGAAGACAGACTAGTCTATAGATGGAACTCTAACATGACATATGAAAGATGGGATGAGATACAGCGAAATTATTTATTACAGGAATAAACTAAAGCCTTCTTCTACCAACAACGCCGTTGATGCACTGTACTGCATGTTCTACATGTCTTGATCGTTGATGTCCTGCATTGACGAATTCTTTCCTCTAGCTAGGTGGAATTCTATCTAGGCCTCGGAGGAGGCGTGAACAGAATTTAGGAGTGTATATATAATGGGTCATGGCACTAAAACCTAACATTTTACAGTCTACAAATTGGCAATGCCCAAACCAGAAACCCAGAGGATACCGAGTAGCATACCGTCGAGATACCTCATACGCGTGTCATATCTTCCTGCACACATCGTCCTGAAAGATCATATACGCCACCTGCACAAACGCGCCCACCGTCGGCGCCGACAGCACAACCGAGATCCCCGCATACACCAAATTATCATCCAGCGAGCAATGCAGGCGCACAAAGAACCACCTCTGTATCGGATATATCATATGCTGCGCCACAACCGTAAACAGCTGCCCCAGCACCAGCGAGCACATGAGCCACGTCCGCTGCGTCAGCGTGCTATGTCCCTGATTATATCCCGTCAGGACGTAGATGAGGATGTACGGCGCCAGCAGCAGGACGAAGATCAGCACATTGATGGGCACCGAGTCCGTGCTCGTGATGTCCGGATACCCGCCCTCGCACGACAGCCCATACGCGTAGCCCACGGCGCCGGCCACCTCCGACTCGAGGTTCTGCAGCGCCTCCTTCTCGTGCCACGACGTCTGGCAGCCCTCGTACGGCCCGCGGTAGTAGACGAGGTAGCGGCTCGGGTAGCTGGGGCGGCACATGGACGCGACCAGGTTCAGGAACGACATGAACACGTACGGGATGACGGTGAGCGAGTAGGCGGCGTAGCCAAAGCTGTCGACCTGCATTCCGCGCGCCTCGTAGAGCTCGTAGCAGCCATAGACGATCTGCACGATGGCTGCGAAGGTCTTGAGGATGCTGTAGTTGGATGCGATCTCGTAGTCGTATTGGCTCTCGTCGAGGATGGGCTGCACGCTGAAGCTGGGGGGCACGGTGGCGACGATGAGGTCGTCGCGGCGGGTGTGGCGGCCGATGATGCTGTGGCGGCCGCGGGAGGACCAGTAGCCTTTGCTGAAGGGGTTGGAGAAGCGCAGGACGGGGATGGGGTGCTGGCCGTGGATGTTGAAGTAGTCGGGTGAGAATGGACCGAGGCTATATCAAAGGGTGATTGTTAGACATGGGAGACTATTTTCTCTATCTATATCACATGGAGGATCTCCTGGGTGAATCTGGCAACTCGACTCCAGGTAGGAATGGAGGCGGGGTATGATGTTTGTGGCAATTTCGATATTATAATACGTTCTGTCACTCAACTCGTGATAAAGGCTCGATATCACCTACCTCCCAAACTCCACAGACGTCGGGACAACCATACACAGCGCCCGTGCCCGCTTTGCCCTCTCCAGCGTCGTCTTCCCCCCGATCGCAAACTCAGAGATGTAGATCAGCGCCTTGACCGACCCGGTGTAGGGCAGCAGGATGGCGCGAACGCAGTCGCACATTGTGATGAACGCTCCACTGCCGGGGTCCGTGAGGACGGTGAACGCATGCAGGGCGTAGTTGGCGAGGAAGAACATGGCGACGTCGGACCAGTGGCTGGGCCGGCAGATGACGTCCCCTTTCTCGCCTTTGTAGGTTACCTTTCCGGGGTCGATCATGGCGGGGGTAGGATGTACGAGATATATGTATGTACACCTTTTTGTCAAGGGTGTGGTGATTTTCAATTCAAAGGGCGACATGATATAAATACTCCACTCTACAGCTGTTCTTTTCTTTTCCCACGGGCAGTCCCGTTCTTCAGCAGTTCCAACACACACACACACGCTGGACCAATGGCGCACAAGGTTACACGATGTAACGTTACCAACGTAGCACAGCATCGGGGCCTGAGCACCGCAGGGTTGCTTATTCGTGTGGCGCCCTGTGTTGTCGTGCCATTGGACGAGTGTCACTTCAGCTCTGTGGCTTGTCTTGTGTTACGCGATACATAACCATACTCTGCTCTCTACTCTCATGTTGGCAGCACTCGGGTTAAGCCATATCGACACAGCGCGCGGTCGAGATGGAGTAGCCATGCATCTAGCTCAGCCCGCCTAAGCGAGCTCTGATTCGGCCCTCGAAATGCACGGGTGCCATTACTACTAACTTTTTAGGGCCGATCAGATCAGGGCTTCAATCGCTCACCGCTACGCTGCCGGCCCTTGTTGAGCAGCAGTGATCCTGATTGGTCGAGCCTATTGGTGGGCCACTGGTTATCATGAGCAACTATAAATTGTAGGTCCATTATGCGATATCTAAAATTTATTCCAACTCGGGTCCACAGTACTGCTGATGCAAGAATAATAAGGACACGAAACAGCCCCGAGCCGCGGATAAAGAGCTGGCTTAGTATCGTCGTAATATACAGATATCTAGCATAGAGTTCTATCAGAGTCGGAGCACCTGGAATGTAGGGGCTCTTGCCCAAGGAGACGCCTGAGGTGTTATGATAGCTCAAGATCATATATCGTTGGGTGAGTATGACTGCACGAATACCCGTGAAGGTGGGGGTAAAGAGTTTAGATTCTGTCTTTCGATGGCGTCTATCAGAGTATTTTACGCGTTCCTGACGTTCCTGTTATACCAGTTAACTAGCTGTGCCATAATATCATCATAATATATCACTCGGATACAGAATCATGAAATAGCACTCGCGATCCCGAGTGACAATTCATGATGCATCGTTGTCATGAACCCATCTCGTGATTGTTGTTAATGGATTGATATACTATTCTGGTGGGCCGGTCGCGTCATATTACTCATGCCTATGTAGATAGAGTTGTTCTTTGAGGGAATACCAGTCTATCATTACCATACCCCGTTCCTTGGTTAACGCATGTAAATATAACTAATATTCTAACGAGTTTACAAGCCAGAGGATGCTAGCTAGGTATAGGCATATACATATCTACCATTAGCTTGCAACCCCTAATTCAACACACACAAGGGGCCTCCCGTATATTTGTGTCTTGGCAGCGAGTGATGCCATATGATGCACCTTCCCGGCTGTTGCATCTTACGAACCCAGGGCCTGCCACAGGCGACGACACTATGTAGCTTGAATACGCGGTCCATATGCTTCGGAGTTTGTATATGGGGAGCTATATCTATACTTGTATACACATGTAGCCACGAGAGCGATATATCGATGCATGGTATGAGTACAATAGAGAATATAATTGTAGTATAATGCATACATGTGTTTGGCCCCACATATATTTATAATCACCCATCTAACGAGGGCCTCCTTTTTCAATTCGAGCTTACATCTACCATGTAGCTGCTGCAACCTCGCTATAGTTACCAGCTGTCGTCGTCGTCATCGAACGCGCCGGGGAGGCGGTACTCTTCTGGCGGTACATATTCCGGCGCAATAGGACTTAGACTCGTACCCTCCAATACATCTAGTTTTGCTACGTCCGACCACGCTTTCTTTACTAACGTCTTCTCTGCAACATCCCTTTGTGCTGTATATGCCGGCTGTTGATGAGTGAGGAGCGGCATAGCTGGTTGTTGATAAGTGGGGATTGGCATAGCCGGCTGTTGATCGGGGGGGATCGGCTGAACCGCGATGTCTTGGTCTAGTCGATCTCTTGGATCAGTTACTTCGACTGATTTGGATTTCATCACACCACCACCACCATCACCACCACCACCGCTGCCCATTGGTTCCGTGCTGGGCCCAGGTTGGGCTGGCGGAGTGCTATAGCTTGTTTGAGAGTCTCGGCGGCCATGACGTTTGTTCTTCTGCCTGCTCAAATCATATTCACTTTCCATCTCCTGATCTTTCCCCTTTAGTATTCTCCCCACCTTACCCGTCCACTGCATCAATGACCCAGCGGACGGTACGTTATCTGTCTTTTCTTTCGCCACAACCTCCGGCGGTGTGATTTTTTCCTTTTCAATCTGCACAGGTTTGGACCGGTCCTTGACTGGGTCAGCCTTCTGCGCCGGGACCGGTACACTGAATGGCTTCTGGAGCCATCGTATGGAGTCGGGAACCTTTCCCCCAAGCTCCTTGCAGAGTGCCAGTTCCTTTTTAAGAATCTTCTGACAGGCGCTCGCCTCGAGAGTGAGCGTGATGGGCATATCAAGGGAGAAAATATCGGACCAGGCTTGTACTTTGGTCTCGTAGGAGTTGATTTCCCTGTGTGCCTTTTCCTCAAATTTACGCGCGACGCGAATCTTTTTCATCCCGCGTATCTGCGAGAGAAGCACGTTCACAGCCAGATATAGCTCCAGTCCCTCAACCATAATGACGGCGACAAACTCGAGAAACATCCGATGCGAGGAAAATTCGGCTTCGTGGGATTTGCAAAATGTGTAGAGATGTTTGACGCCTTGTCCGGTGGGACTTCTCAGGTGCGAGTTGTGTTTCTCAAGGTTGGTTTTTTGTCTTCGATACCAGGCCTGGATAAGGTAGATGCTGTCAATCTCACAAGCACTCCCGCTCGGCCGATCTGGCGGGCTTTGGCGTATCGGCATGGATCGGAACTGGGCACCGGTGCCACGCCATGCCTCTACATGCCGGGAGGTTCTGCCCTCTCGTACATAGATCAGGATCTCATCCTTTCCATTATAGTGCTTGAAGGCTCGAGTGAGGGGTTTGACGAGGTCTTTTGGTCGTACGCCTGGGATTCCGCTCGTTCCGAGCGTCTGAAAGCTAAAGGCCTATAAAATATTAACGAAACGAAGAGTACTGATGTCCTTGATGAGATATATACCTTTTGTACTTTCGACCACATATCCTTATATCCGACCGGCAATGCTCCGGCTGTCCCGATATTTATAAGGGAGACAACTAGAAGGTCGACACTTCGACGAGCTAAGATCCTCGATTCTCCCGATTTACTAGCCTGAGACGCACTTTCAAGCTTGATTATCCAGTCACAAAAGCTCAAAAGCACTCGTAAAAGTATCCGTTGATAGCAAAGTTGCTCAATTTCAGTGCAGGTCCTCAAGGATGTTTCCCATTGGGGTAAATGGAGCTCAACCCACGATTCCGGGATAACAACGTCTGTCTTTTTGATTGAAAAAAGCTGGTGATTCCCAGAGAAGTGTTAACAAAATGAGCCATCGTTATATGGAAAGTATTGGAGAAATGAGCTTCGTTACCAGAAATGTCAACATCTCCTCGTATATTGTGATTACCGACTCGTGGTAGAACGACAAGCATTGTGTGAGCGTGTTCAGGTCGGATAACGATTGGAGTAAACTATCCATCTTCTCGGACTAGAACACATAATTGGCCTTTAGCATATCACATTCATTATGGGCGGACAGAGGGATATGTACCGTTTTTCCCACAGAAATGCGTTGGGACGAGTTTTCCCACCGGTGAAGGGAGTGGTATTGGATCAAGGTATGGTATACGAAGTCTTGTGGTCGCTCTGGTGCCCGGGAGTGGTTCCCACTCTTAACACCAGGATAAGCCAGAGAACCAAAAATATCGCCCCAACTCTTGATTGCTGCTTCCTGGCGCTTCTGACCCCCTTGCTTGCTTTTTGATGTGTTCGTAGAAGGCCGGCTAGTCAAGGCCTCATTAAGGACATACTGTTCAAAGTCTGGTGTCCCGGATTAGATTCCACACTGAATCGCGTCACAAATGGTAGAAGTCTAGTATATGGTCTGGCCTACCTAGGCATCTAGCAGGCTGGTAGTTTCCCAATAGCGATACGAAATCATATTTGCTTCCAATATCTAAATGTATTGTAACCGCCCAGCGATGAAGGAAACGGTCTTGAAGCTTGTCTAGGACATCCGAGGCTTCGGCTGTGCGTAGCCAATCACGTACGCTAGCGATTGCCCCAGAAGCCTCGAAAAAAGAAGAATGGTAAGTCAATTTGGTGAATAGAATATTTAGCAGTTCATCTATGTTATTAGTAAGCTATCGATACAATATCTTCTTTTACGGAGGTCATACCTTGCAACGTAAAGTACCCTTCAGGTAGCTTAATGAAGAAGGTGATGGTTGATAGGAGTCCCTAAAGATCGCATTAGTTGTGAACCTTATAGCTAGGTACAGCCTTGACGGCTGATTTCCGTTCGCGCGGGGTTTATACTAACCTGCACGGATCTCTCGAACTGAACTCTCGGGATAGCAGTGTGCGAGCATTTCGGCCCACGAAATCCTACCTTCTCAGGCCGATCCCATCCGACTAAAGAAGTTAATAAAGATTTATTTCATAGTTGATGGGAGAGGCCTACATTGGTTCACGCAGGAACGACATTTCTCCTGTTTTAAAAGACCTTTCCATGATACCAGCGCTCTCTCTTGAATCGGAGAGCAGGCTAAGTTTATTTGCCCCGAGAGATAGTCTAATACGGCCTTCACCATTTCATCGAACTCAAACATCTTTGCCCTTCTGGCACCCTGCAACAGAGGTGACCACTTCAGCGTTATATATGGTTTGCTCTTACCCGGATTGTGTAGCAAACCGAGAGCGCAAAGTGTTCCTTTCGAAAGATCTTTACCCCCCGACTTAACCTCCTCGATCATTTCTTGCAGCCCAGAGATATAATCGATTGGGAGACCGCCTAAATCAAAATCCTCTTTGAATTTCAGGAAGTAGGGAACATTGATCGAAACCTACGGAAAAGGTCGAGTCAGTATTGTTATAGGTATAAAGCTGGACTTTAAGGTATCTTACTGTGGTATCCATATAATCCCTTATCCAATCCTCTTTAATGGTACGCCGGCCTAACTTATTACCGGTCTTGAAGTACTGCCCGGCTACTGTAGCCACATCTTCCCATGGGCGACTCCAGCTCTTTCCCGAGAAGCGCTTCTCGCAGCTTAGGTCTACACCTGTAGCGGAAGCTGTTGATATTTGGCAAAGTACTCTACCTATTTCTGAATGGCTGAAAATATCCCTCAGGTCACGCCATTCCCATAAATTGCCATTTTTCTCCACCCGGTCGATCATTAGGTTTAATGCGGTATCTATAACCCCTGTATTGGTGGAGTAAAGGAAAGCATCTAGGAGTCTTCCCCTTTTGAGATAGAATTCCAACAGCTCCACCTTGTATTCGTATTCTGCAAGGAATTCTTCTTTTTCCAAATCGGTGTTGAACATATTGAAGGCGAGCTCCCGCAGAGATGGTCGAATGCAAGGTGGCGTTTCTTTTCGTCTCAAGAGCATATTGCATTCACGAGCGTAAGACTTCCTATCCCCGTCTCCGATTTTGTGCCGGTATCTGCCTGTATTAGCCCGGTAACCTAGTTGGCCCAGGGGTGCATAGATTCATACTTGGACACATCTTCAACTAGTCTTTCATACAGCTTCCCTCTATGAAGCGACTGAAGTGCATTTAACGTTTTGTTGGTCAGATGGTATTCGACAGCTGCTTCTTCATACATTCTCGCCTTCTCAAACAAACTAGCAGCCTTCTCGTGTTTACCTCTTTCTCCGTACAGGCCTACAATCTGTAGTTAGCGCTATTTTAGAGATCACGGAAATTAGAAATGTTATCTTACGTGCTGCAGCTTCCCAGTCTCTGTCGGCTTCCAGGCAGCTCGCCGCTCTTTCTTTCATATTGAGCTCAAGAAAGTTATCACTGGCATCCCGGAAGTATGTGTGAAGTATGCCATCCTGGAAGTATGTGTGGGATAAGCCATCACCTCGTGCTTGACATTCTTTTCCTTTCTGTTCAGCAATACAAGCCTTTGCCAGCGTGATCTTTTGCCGATCAGCTGCATTGTTATAACACCGAAGTGCCTAGACAGCGTTCAACATATCTCTCGTACCAGGGGTATCCAGAGAGAACCACTTACCTGTTCAAAAAGGCCTCGGTCCATACATTGGTCGCCAGTCTCTATCCATTCTCTCTCAGTCGTGACAGTTGTGGGGCGAACCTCTTCCATCATGAATAGTATCTAGGGAGTTTTGTTAGACCTAATATATGACGAAGACTGTTGGAAACACACCTCTCCGGGTTTGAAAGGCTTTATATCCACTAGTGGAACGGGCACTCTTTCCGTAAAGAGTTCTGGAATAAATCCTGGGTCACTCTCTAATATCCATAGGCGATTGCGAGGACGGGTGATTGCAACGTATAAGCTCTAATAAGGTATATTGTGAGTAAATTAAAGACTACTTTCTTGGGCCGGGGGGGGGGGGGGGGGCTGGGTTATATTGGCGGGATTTACCTTCAGTTCGGAGCACATGTTCTTTTGCGACGGTTAGCGTATGTTAATTCTGACCACAAAGCTTGACGAACTTAATACTTACCATGTGAGTTGCTCCATACGATGGGTTTGCACCAGGAACTAACAATTCCTGCAGGGACTGGAACGCCTTCAAACAGGGGCTAGAGGAGAAGAAGTTGTAAAGAAACACGTCGTCATACTCCATCCCTTTACTCTGGAGTACAGTAAACACAAAGCTCCCACCACCGAGCTTGCTTTGGAGTTCTTCTTGGCCTTGGTGGTCCCTTATGATAATGATCTGCTGGTTGCTAACTTGTTTCGCTGGACTTCCGTTTTGTGGTGATTCTACCGCTGGGTTTCCAACATCTGTCCGCTTGCCCGCCATCTGGAGAAATTCAACGAGATCCGAGCCAACTATCCCACACTATGTAAACAGGACATTGGAGGTTAGGGGAAATCAAGGTTACATACTAAAAATGACAGGTTTTGGTCCTAGATACTGGCCGATTTCTGGTGGTAGCTTGTCTACCATGCCCGGGAAGCCTTTATACGTAGCACGTCAACATTACCCCCGAGAAGAAATCCAGGGTGAACTCACCTTTCCACAGTAGCTCCATCACAAATGATGCAAGTGATAAGATTCCCTGGTGCGAACGAAAGTTGCGGGACAAGGGGAAGAGCTCGGGCTTTGCTGCGGAAGGATCTATTCTGGTGAATCGGCTCGCTGAAAAGTGATTGAAGAATAATGCCTTTAGATTCGCAAATCGAAATGTTGAATCCTTGGATATGCACTGTGCACTGTCCCCAGCTGTCCCCCCTCAAATGTCAATATCCTTATCATGGGGGTACATGCGACATTGATACGAACCAAAATGAATTCCACGAGGATTTTGAATAAGATTCAGGAGCAACTCAATCTCTAGGGGCCGTTGATCTTGCACCTCTACATCCAAACATCAGTTCTCGAATTCGTGGTGAGATAAGGGTCCGCGCAGACTTAATACCATCAACATATACCTCCTCGAATATAGACTCAAGCCTGCGTCTGAGTGAGACATTTTCATCCAACTCCCCTATTATAGCCCTAACCCTGTCAATTCCATCATAGTCACCGTTATTCGCTTTCGTACTCTCATAGCGCTCAAAGATTCGGTAGACCGTATCCCTATCAGATGTCTTCGCAAAGGTTGGTGCCTGTCTGGGGCTCATCGTTCGGTACTCCTCTTTCGAAAGTGGTTTCAAACCCGTTGAAACCGATGCGGCGCCTTTGATGATTCCCATTATCTCTGCGAAAACCAAGTCCGGTTCTAGTCCACCCCTGATACTCGCAGGAAAATGTGCCCAATAAGATTCCTTGAATATAACATAGTCCACCAAGCGTCTTGACCTCTCAGTTACTCCGGCCCTGCGGTCTTTCCCTCTGTATCGAGTTAGAAATGAAGTTGGATCCCGGTTAGTTGGGGGTATACCTGATCGTATTTTCGAGGCGTTTCAGGAAATGCCCAAATGTGCAAACAAGAGGGAAATTCTCCTTCTCCAGAGAGAAAAAGTCTTCAGTTGTGTCTTCTTCCATACCGTCCCGGATTTGGAGAGAGATATCTGCTCCATCCTCAAGATAATTGAATCCTGCCTTAACTCGATGAAGCTGGGAATCTATCAATAGTTGAACTTCGCTTTCCAACTTCCGTGCGAGAGGTTCAGAACGAGTGAGTAGTAGCTGCAAATCGTATTCATGAGGATCAGTAACAGCAATTGAGCGCCCGCACCACCGGAAAGCTAGGTCATAAGGTAGACGTGGGAATTCTATACCTGACGCATTGGAGACTCGGGCTGACCAATATTGCGGGCCAGATATCTACTCATTAGTTTATAAAGCAAACACGACGTCTTTCCCGTACCGCTTCTCCCAAGGATAAACGTTGCGTTCTTATTTTTGATTATCTCGACTTCTTTCCCGGTGACATCGAAAGGGAAGTCAGACTGGGGTTGGCCCCGGAGGATACTTTCCAGAACGTTTACGGTGAGTGTATGGAATTTCCCTACCAAAAGGCAAATTTTTCTTTTTTAGCGATCAACAGGTACTGAGGACATAGGGCTCTAATGACACCCACCTGAGATGAGCATGTCTTCTGGTAATCGTTCATCCATCGACTCCGTCTTATCCCGTTCTTCCCGTTTAATGTCATCGAATACGATTGGGAGTTTTATCTTTTTCTGTTTGTCGAACGGTCTCGTTTTGCAACGCGCGGCCCGAGTCAGCGAGAAACCTTTCTGGGCGCGGTATACCGAAATCAGAGAATTTTTAATCTATGAGTGAATTATTAGATCTGGCTTCAGGTGAACCGAAACAGGGATTCAACTAACCTCTTTGACGTCCCCAATTCTCCAAACTGGGAATTACATTGTCAGCTTAAATAATATAGATGAGGAGTGCGCTGGAAAATCTAACCTCTTACGATCTGGCTATCTGCATTGCACTTCTCGTCAAACCCGACATCAACCTGCCACAGGATACGCCCGTTGGCCCCGTAAAACGCTTGATACACAGGAACTCTGAAGTGATGGTCCCCATGGTTTTTAGAAACCTCCCCGGCAACAGCACCTCGAGCCCAATCACCAGATGCTAGAGCTTCTAGCTTTTTCTTGATATGATTAATGTTTCCTTTTCGGTATTTGTGAGCATGTCATTCCTATTAACATTTTATATTCTAGAAAAACGTACCCTCCCGCCCTGAGTGTTTAAGGTCTCTGAGTGCCTGTGTCGAAAGAGCTATCTTCCAGACTCCCAGACCACCACCAAGCAATCCCTCAAAGGAATCAGATTCGAACGCGTCTTCTTGCGATTCGAAGTCAGCGTGAACAGGGGAAACAATAGCCTCCGAAGTATTTCCGTAACCACGTATGAAGCACAAACGGCAGGAGAAGCTTCCCAATAAAGCCTCTAGAATGGGAAAGGTCTCCTTTGTTTCGATGTGGACAATGGTATCACGTATAGCCCTCACTGAGGAAGGGATGGCAATCTTAAGCTGGCTAAGCAACGCAATACAATCCTGCGAGATTCCTGGCGCAATAGCGGCGGGCGTATAAGACACTCGACGGCCCTTAACACCAACAGTTTTGCTGCTACCGGAGGCTCGTGATTCACTCTGCAATGTTCCAACTGAGTGTTTTCTTTGAGAAGATGCTCCAGAATTGTAGGCTTGCCGAAGATGAAGTTTAAGAGTGGTGAGCAGGTCCCACCGTTCCATCTCGGACAAAACCCGGTGATCCCTCTCACAGTTCTTCGCGAGATCCACCGAAACTTCAACCCAGTCCTGCATTGTTTCCTTGCTTGATCCAACGCACTTAATCCAGTCTCCTATCAGATTGTCACTGCGTTGATCTGAGATGAGCCTTCCAAGGAGTGCTCGCGCCTTTCCAAGCCCTGATGCAAGTTGATCAAAGATACTTCTATCTGCGAGTGACACAGTCGAGAACAGGAGCTCCAACAAAGCATCGCGGGTGTGTAGGTGCTGATATCTCTGGTCTAGCAGTGGAATGATGATTTTCTTGATGACATGTCCTCCCAAGAGCTTTCCTAATTGCAAGTCGAGCTCTTCCTTTTCTTTGTTCCGCACCTTTAGGTTACTATGCTGGGGAATCAGTTGGACAAACCTTGCGATGCGCAGACCGTAGACCTCAAAGCCGGCGATGAACGAGCCCGAAAGCTCACGGTTCTCGAGGAAGCCTGAAATTTGGGAGGGATTGCCCTTGAAAGAGGTATACGCGTCTTCCCATTGCTTCTTGCTGATCTGCTCATTGTCATTGTCATTGAATATGAAAGAGATAAACCTTGTATCCCCCATCGTGCTCGCTCTACTAGTACCGATTTTGTAATGGTTTGTATTTCTGTAAAGATTCGAAGGTTAGGGTGCTTAACCTAGGTACTGTATGGTAGAAACTATGTACGTACATGTAGGAAGAAAATATCGGTTTTCTTTTAACTTCGAAAAGGCATAACTGACGGTTGCCTGAAGCATACACGCGTAACGGACGGTTGCCTGAACCAAACAGCCATAACACACGGTTGCCTTAAAAAGCCGGAGGTAATGATCTTCTTGCAAGATGATAAACCTTGATCATTCCTGTGGATCCGCGACTGGGTCCGGTACTGAGTACCAAACACTAATTATAAATGGGCTTAGACTTATATTTATCTGGAGCAGGCCAACGCCCATGCCCATCGAACCCTACTCATTACTGCTCATGATTTCCCAATGGCTTCGGGTTAAAGAAACTTCCAGTTCTTCCATCTTCTCGGGTTCCGTCATGACACTATTAGCTGCTTGGTTTAATTCTTCCAGTTCGAATAGATCTTTGTTACCAGTAGTCTCGACTATTTTCGCAGTACTTGGGGGGCGGAATCTTTTTAATCACTCATTGTGTTTGTATTTATCAAAGAGTAACTGAATAACGGTAATCAGACTGAGCCAGAGCCAGGGCCAGGTAATTCTTTTTGGCGAATCACGGCTACAAGCTGAGACCCCAGCCTGTCGACCCCAGATGGAAAAAAGTTCAAAAGTGTTTTTAGTGCTACGCACTAGTAGTATAGCAAGAAACCACATTTGACCCATCACCATCTCTCACCCAGCCAGCCACCATCATCATGTCACCCGCTGCCCCATCAACATCTCTCACCTGTTGCATAATCAGTTCTGTCCATGTTAGTCAATCTCTTCCCTATCTCAATGGTTCAAGTCACTAAATACTGTATAGAAACCTGATTATCTCCGCTGTTTCGTTTCGCTGTTTCGTTTGGTGTTTATCCGGGTGCAGTGAGTAATCCCTCAAACTATCTCTACTGTTCAAGTCACTAATTACAATATAGTGATCTGTTTATCTCAACTGATTCGTTTCGCAGCCGTTTCCCGTTTCGTTTGCTCTTTAGCAGAGGTAGGATTTGATTCTATTCACAATTGTACTTTGACTAATGGTTCTATAAGTACACAGAGTTTAGTTTCGGGGTTTCGTTTCCGCGTTTCGTTTGGCGGTCTCGGCAGCCATCTGTACTTCAAATGCCACGGCTTTTACATAGGGGGCGGATTTTGAAACTGCTAGAATCCGTTAGATCTTTTGAAATCCTGTTGGAAGATAGCAGCATTTATAAACCACTTCCCCGCTTGCTTGAATATGAGATGATTTTGAACGAATTCAACGAGATGGAGGACTGTTTAGATTACGATGACTGGTCCTTCATATCCGGTTTTGAATCAGCGGGTGAGGAGGAGGTTCAACCCTTTACAGGCAGGACTAAGACAGCGCCCGAAGTCACCATCAGCTTTACAGCAGAACTTCTGGACCATATTCAATTCACCCGTTACTGGCAACCAAGAAATATGATTCCCACTATCATCAACCTATCTGTTTGGTTCAATCAACCAAGGTTCCGGAGCGGGAGAAAGGTTAAGAAAGCCTTTAGAATGAGTCGAAGCGCGTTCATGAAACTGTTGATTCTGATAAAAGACAACCTGGTGTTTAGAAATAATTCGCCATGCTCCCCTCAGACCGAGGTCATCTATCAACTCGCTACCTATCTGTACCATTTAGGTAGCAAGTTAGCAGGTGGTTCACTTGAGCAGGTTGGGGACACATTAGGAATTGGATCTGGTACGGTCATAAGCTTTTGCAGACGAGTGGTTCATGCAATTCATCAACTGCGATGTGATTTCATCAAATGGCCGACCGTTGAAGAAAAGATTGCGCATAAGCAAAGGGTGTGCGCTGCATCAAAGAGTGTCTTTTCCAATTGCGTTGGCTTTGTTGATGGCACCTTCATCACCCTTCAATACGCCCCGTTAAAGGATTGGTTCTTCTATTACAATAGGAAGGCTTCTTATGCTCTGAACGCAATGGTGGTCTGCAATGATAATCAAAGAATACTATACATCCGGGCTGGTGATGCCTCTGCTGTTCATGATACGAGAGTATATGCCAATTCACAGTTGTCTCAACGCTCCGATAGTTTTTTCAACGATGGGGAATATTTACTTGGAGATTCCGCTTACACTCCTACCGAGCATATGGTACCTCCGTTCAAGAAGCCAAGGTCTGCAAATTCGGATTGCAGGTTGTTCAACGCTATTTTGAGCTCTACTAGACGGATCACAATAGAGCATGTATTTGGTATGCTAAAAGCGCAGTTTCCTTCCGTTACATCTGTTCCAATTCACATTACTGGCGATCGTAGCCATCAAGAGGTAGTGGCCTAGTTTGAAGCCGCCTGCATATTGCATAATTTTCTACTCGAAGAAAAGTAATTGGATTGGGATGTTGAAGAGGACATTCATATGAGTGATATCCATCAACGAATGGTGGAAAGAGAAGGTCGTGACATAGAGAGAACGCAACGAATAGCTGGAGAAAATGCAAGGAGGGTGCAGACTGGAGAATTGCTACGGGAAAGCATACTAAATCACATGCTCGCATCACTTGAACAAATCTTTCTGTGAAAAGCTAGATTGCGTTTAAATACAATCATTATTCATTCCTTTTCCAACGTAACCCATCCATTTCCATCTTCTTGGTCATGAGGTCAAACCGACGCATAGCCTCCTCGTGCCGATTCTCTTCTTTTCTAATCAAGAATTCCTATCTGCTTTGTCCCTCTCCTTTTCGTATAAAAACCTCTGATTGTCAAGGGTAAGACGTGCCGCCTGTTGCTCGCGGATTAAATCTTCTCCTGAAAGCTTTTCCTCTTTTAATAGCCTGTCTACCTTCACCGGAAGGTTCTCCTCTCTTTAGTGGATTTTTCTGCCCACCAGCCGGGGGCTGGATCCCATGCTCGTATTCGTACCCTTCCGTTTCGCTAAAGGGATCTTCGTAATCGTCTGGGATTTGTGAGGACTCCAATCGTTGGTTGGTACTTCCGTTGAATACCTGAAAATGGTTTATCCCACCGCTCTCTGATACGTAGTGTGGGGTGTAAGATTTATCACTTTGTAGGACATCTTCCAACTCCTTAAAGTACGGGCATATCGTACTCAACCAACCGGTTCTAATTCCTTCCTACTTCTGTCTATCTGCCTGCAAGGCAACCAAATCAAATTAACCTTCTCCCGTACTCTCTAGCCTTGCTCTTGCCTCGCGGTGTTTTTCCTTCAAACTATCTCATTTGCCTTTGATTGCTCTAGCAGACCGTTTCCCGTCAAATACCTCTTTGGATATTTTGCTTAACGCATCCTTGGCTTTGGTTTTGTACAGCTCAAGGTTACGCAAATCAGACCCAAACCAATCGATCAAAAGTTCAATGCCCTCGTTGGTCCATCTTTTACTTCCAGATTGGCTAGAATATTGACTGCTGTTGTCCAGCTGTGAGAGGGTGCTCGGCGCAGTGGCTTGACTACTTCCTGCCGGCCTCGGGAGTAGGGGTTGCGCAACGCGCAAAAGTGAAGGTTCAATCGGAAAATGAAATTCTTGGGACATCTTGATGAAAACAGGAGCGGAGTTTCGAACACGGTCTCAAATTTTTTTTATATTCACTTCTACGCTTGCAGGGATATACCCCGGTTCACTCTCTCTCTAAATTTTTCAAACGCCCTTTTTCGCGGCTGGAAAAGCTGAGTTGGAGCTGGAACCGCGAACCAATCATTTCCTTCCCGGCTCCGGCTCCGGCCTCACTCTGGCTCAGTCTGATTACCGTTAATGAAGGGATGGAATCTGATGAATCCCTTGGCGTGTTTATTACCTATTGCACTCGTGTAAAGTCAGATAAGATTAGTCGGAGGTGTGTTTCACATGAAGCAAGTTGAACCAATGTTCAACTCACCATCTTAGCGCACAGAGATCATGCAAGAGCTTATCGATAAGACGTTGTGTTACGAACCGAACAGGGCGGTGCCGCATTGTGCCGCGTTGTGCCGGGCTTAACCGCCACTACCGCAACTACATTTATGCTCACTGGCACCGTGCGATGCGATGGATGTGAAAGGGAAGGGGAAGACTTTGAGCCTCATGGTATGTATTTGGATGACCACTACTGAGATACTGCGTTTGCTAACGGTGGACTAGAGCTGATTTGACCTGTAGTGTTCCTTGCTAGTAGGCTGCATGATGGTATAAGTACGGCAAACTTCCTAGTAGCTAAGTTCGTAGATCCAGCTATCATTCTCTCAACTCCTCAGCGCTTAAGCTACTCTACTCGGCCTATACCCTCAATCTCCTATCCTATACCAGCAACTACTATCAACTCACTCTTCTCGGGCAGGCCCTGGAGATCTTATCATACAGCGCAGCATACATCACACGAGAGTTCAACCTTGAAATGGGTACCTACTCGATGTCAATCACCCTGGTTCGCTCCATCCTGCTTGCAGTGACGTCTGTCACGCTCGCGGCCCTACTCCCGTCCCCGCCGACTGCAATACCCAACCCCGTCCCCACTTTCTAAACCAGCGCGACACGCCGTGCTATCCGCCCGTTGTTCATCATTTTCTAAACCTGAATACAGGCAAGTAGTAATCGAGCAAAGTCACTAAAACGCGATGTCATGACTTAAACGACCCTGCTAGTACTGAGCATTGAAACCCAATTGACGAGTGACGGCTATGTTGAACGAGGTGGGGAGGTCGGAGAGGGCAGAGTTGAAACTTTGAAGGACTGATGTAGACATTTGGTTCTTGTCTTTATTTTCATTGTGTTGCTGGTACTAGGCTCATGGAATGCTTGCCTTATAGGTCAGGTATCAGGCAATCTAAGTTATGTAGATTGCAAGACATTTACTGGTATCATTCCTGTTTAAATATCGATCGTACTGAGCGTGAATGGGTGTATTTTGCCACTTAGTGAACTGGGGCGGTCCTCGGGGAGGTGGAAATGGATATGTATGCAATCCTATATTTTGTAGTATGTCAGACCAACAACCCTAACCCTAACCCTAACCCATCATTGCGGCACAGTCTAGACAAATTGTGATCGATTTCGTGTACCCCATGGGCGGGGTGACCTAGAGCGCGACTTCACATTATACAATATCTGAGCGCCGTATATACTGAATACTCGAGGAACCTTGCTCTCCCCGATCATCATGTCCCCAGCTGGTATCGCGATCGACGACACCATAATCGAACGCTACAAGCTTCAGACAGAGTTCTCACCAGGTAGGAGCTCCGTAGTCCACACTACGGTTATATACAAGAGCTCCCCGGTGTCCGGTGCGCTCCGAGCTGTAGAAGTAAAGAAGCCGTGGCGCGAGACAAGAGAGCTGGGCTCTGGGGGCTACGGTGTTGTATCCCTACAACTGAGTGCCGATGGCCAGTGTAGGGCCGTAAAAAGAATTCATAGAGTGAGCGGGGTGAGCTCTAAGGCGGAGCTCATGGCCCTGAGCATGGCACTCGATGTGAGCTTTCTTCCTGACATGATAGCAGGGACGTGGGGCAACAGTTCGCTGATCCTTGTGGCAATTCTACGCAGCATACAGACTTATTTGTTCAATTTCTTGGATGGTTTGAGGATAGGCACAACTTATACATTGCGACGGAGTTCATCATGTACGGCGATTTGAGCCAGTACATCAAAGATCCGGCAATGAAACATAATGCCCGATATATCACGATGCAGCTGCTGGAAGGTGTTCGTAATCTGCATATGAACAATATATGCCATAGGGACCTCAAACCCCAGGTTAGTTTCGAACCGCTTAAGCGCTCAGTTATCGGCCGCTTGACTAATTCATGCAATCCGATTGCTACCCTACAGAATATCTTGATGGCTTCAGTGATTCCAGTGCGGGTAAAGATAGCAGACTTCGGGTGTTCAAAGTTCCACAAGGAAACAGAGCTGCGGACGAAGGTTGGAACACAATGTTATATGGCGCCAGAACTTCAGGGCTTAGGGAAAGCGCGGAAGAAATACACAAACGCCATCGATATGTGGGCTTTAGGATGCATCATTTATGAGATGTTGACATCCACGCCTATCTTCTCCCAAATTTCGACATCTATGGAGGATACAACTCCGATCACAACGATCTCGGGTATCATCGTCGATGAGAAACTGATGGAGACGAATGAGCCTATCTTTGACTTTAAGCTCTTATGGATGTTTTTTCTAGGAGATGTTGCATTTCATATCAAACAACTTCAACAGGCACAAGCGAGCAGCAAGGCAATGGATCTTATTATGTCACTTTTGCGTGTAATCCCCGAAGAACGTCTTACAGCAGCAAGTGCTCTACAAGATCCTTGGATAATTGAAGAAAATGGGACAATTCCCGATTTGACCATACTCGCCTCTCATACCGAAGAAGCCCTATCACAGGTACTTCTACCGGCTTGTGAGATTTCACAAACCAAAACGGAGAACGAGCATGTTCCACATCGCCATATGGAGAATTCCGGTGTAAATGACTTGATCGGGGCCGCACTTGATGGTGATGTCAGGACACTTTCTAGGCTTTTGGCTCTCGGTTCAGATATAGAACAAAGAAATGATTCCGGCGAGACTGCATTATTAGCTGCGGTGCGTGCTGGGAAGCTGTCGAGCGTTGAGATTCTCATGTACCACGGTGCCAACCCGAAGGTGAATCTAGAGGATGGGAAAACTGTTCTGCAACTTGCCATAGAGGAGGGAAACATTCATATGGTTACGCTCCTACTGGACCATGGTGTTTGTATGGAGGAGGGTAATAAGGACAGATCCACCGCTCTGATAATTGCCGCAAGAAAGAGGGATATAGGAATGGTAACGCTACTATTAGGCCGAGGAGCAAATCTTGAGGCCAGACAGAAGGATGGGGAAACTGCTCTGTTGGTTGCAGCACGAGAGGGGGATAAAAGAATGACTGAATTACTTTTGGACCGAGGGGCGTTTCTAGAAGTGAGATCGAATGATGGGAGTACCGCCCTTATTCTAGCAGCGTCAAGCGGAGGTGTTGAGACGGTCAAAGTGCTGTTAGATCGTGGAGCACATATAAACGCTCAGCAAGAACAGGGCGTGTCTCCCTTGCATTGTGCTATACAGTGTAATGATATTGCTACTGTCGATCTCTTAGTGAGCCGCGGTGCGGATTTAGAGGCACAGACAGCAGAGAACGAAACCCCGCTACATAGAGCCTCAGAGGCGGGACAAGTTGATATCATGGAATCTCTACTTAGGGCTGGTGCAAACCCAGAAGTAGTCCTAAGAAAACGGCTGACCTGTCTAGGGATTGCCGTCGATAGCAATCAGGCAGCTGCAGTTATGCTCCTGCTGAAGCAGGGGGCGAAAATGGAGGACGAGCGACGTGGGGTCATAAAGCCACTTTTGAAGGCTGCTAGTCGTGGATACCTAGAGATCCTTATGACGCTTCTAGCATATGGTGCAGACCTCGAACAGGTCAACATCGGAGGTGCAAATACTCTCCATATCGCTGCTGCTCATGGCTGGAGTGAAATTGTTGATGTTCTTCTGTCGCTTGGAGTGAATATCGAATCGAGAACCACGCAAGGTGCAAGTGCACTCCATCTTGCCGCCATGAGTGGCCAAACTGAAATCGTCTCTAGACTTGTGGGGTGTGGGGCAGCTTTGGAACCTATGCTAGGCAGGCAGGGCACTGCCCTGGCTCTTTCATCATTAAATGGACATGTTGAGACGGCGGAACTCCTATTGAGTTTAGGAGCAGACCCCCACTCCCTGAGCAGGGATGGTAAAGCTATTCTCCACCTCGCCGCACGAAAAGGGTATACAGCCATTGTCGAACTACTGCTTGACGGAGGAGCAATGATCGATGCAAGAACGAAGGACGGCGAAACCCCCCTGGCGCTTGCAAGCTATCATGGCTATCCTGAAACAGTTTCGCTGTTGATACGACGAGGCGCTTCAGTCGATATAAGGATATACGAACAGAGCACTCCTCTTATACTTGCGGCGAGATTTGGCCACCCCGAGGTAGTTTCAATCCTTCTGGCGCACGGAGCTGAGATCAATGCTCGTGAGAGGTGTGGTGGTAGCGCTGTTCTCATCGCTGCGCTTGAAGGACACCTCGATGTCGTTCGTATTCTACTCGATCATGGCGGAGCTGAGCTAGAGTTCGAGTTCGAGTACGAGTATGGCCTGCTCAGGCTTAATAAGACAGCTTTCCTGGGAGCAGCAGCCAAGGGGCATGTAGAGATTATGGCACTACTATCTGATCGAGGCGCGAATACCATGTTCCAGGACAAACAAGGCTCAAATGCCCTGGTACTTGCAGAACGGAACGGAAACACTGGCGCGGTGGAGTGGCTCTTGCGCAGCGGTGCCGCGGTCTCGCGATCGAACAATAAAGGAAATACTGCACTGAACAGCACCGCTTGTAATGGCCACACAGATACCGTACAACTCTCCTAGACGCCGGGTCAGACATAAACCAAAGAAATTGGGCCAGAGCGACTGCGTTTATGTCCGTGGTGCTAGCGAGCGAGATATTTTCTTTTCTTTTCTTTTTTTCGCTATTGAGCTTAGTTTGGTATATGATTGAGAAACATGTATAAGTGTCGTTTACATGGCCTGGCCCTGTCTGGTTAAACCACATGCGAGCCGGGTATATCTATATGCATATTACAAGTTATTGGGGCAATATGTTACTTCTAATTGAAAGAAAAGCGATACATTGAGTAACCTGGTATAGCCCTGGCTCTTATTCCATTCGCGATACCACTATATTTAATAAAGTACACTTCATTATAGTCCTAGGTAGGCGAGGGGTTCCAGGGACAAGCAACAGCCTCGAGTATACGATTCTGAAATAGCTTCAAACCTGGGAGCAGTGCCCTACCCGCCCTCTCAGGACACTCAAGCTTTGCGATGCCGGAAGGCACCCGAACCTCGAGGCTCGGAAACCAAAAATTAACATGACTAGCTGTTTAAATAAATACTTAAGTAATAAAGAATGATAAATGCGGAAGACTTTGACTTTCTTAATTGACTTGCTTAACTATAATACAGGGGGCATATCAAGCCCTTATTTATACAAAGATATTGTGCTTGGAACAGTCTATATAGGACATATTGACATAAGTATATACTGACACTTGTATGAGTATTAAGACATTGCTCCTAGGCTCGCAACGCAATTCCAACACTAGCGACAGGCAGGATTACCGAGTGCTATCATATGATGCACTCCCGAGTGCACTCGGAGTGTAGGTGGATAAAATCTGGCGCCATAGACCAATTCAAGAGTATTCTAACTAGATTCTCTATGTGTTTACACCATGTCTATATCATTTCATACATCCGTCATTTGCGTGCGAGAATCCACAGCCTTGCCAAGCCGCTTCTCCCACCTTAGTGTACTTGGCAACAGAATATCCTGCTTTTCTGATCATTGGTCACTGCCTCATGCATTTCCACAATTTTAGCCTATTTCCGATATAGTACCTTGATTCTTTCACAGGATTAACAACAGTTGTGGATAAGACTATCCCAACGGATCCGCTTCAGCTTGAATCCTCTGCGTGCTCTAGCTACTTCTTCATATGGGGGAATCGATCCCTGCGTCAATCGATTCATTCTCCTATATCTTTTAAGCAGGGCTAGGTGCTATATATTGAATAGATATAACTATCATACTTCAACTCTCTTTACATAACTTTGTGTCTAATGCAATTAATAAGTTAAACAAAAACAAAAACAAAAAAAACCTTCCCCCTAGAGGATGATGCTTAAGCTATGACCGAGTGACACATTATGATGCACTTCGGGCACCATTCATGCCTAGGTGTTAATGGCCGAACTCCTAGGATGATCTAATTTATCACCGACGGCCACTAGAGAACGAGAACTCAACTGGAAACACTATTTGAAGGAAATCTAAAATCTTGCTTTCTTACTAAGAAATTTAGAAATGCTATCTCCGAAAAATGGGATGCCAGAGAATCGGATTCGCACCCAAAGAAAACCTTATCCCCTTGTTTTCTACTTTGTGGTTAGCTTAATTGGCGTTCCTTCTATCTCCATATGCGTTCATCGGGTATATAAGGGTCTTTAGTAGCTGGTATCGTGTTAGTATATTCTATGACAATAACCAGTAACCTCGAATTATCGCTCAGTGACGACGAACAACATACCCACTTCTCCATGTCCCTCTTCCTCCTCCGATAATAAGACAATTGCACATCGAGTGTTTCTACACGAAGAGGGCCATTAGCGCTATGCTTCACAAATACTACTGCGGGATTTAGGTGAGATACGTGATGTGCAATATAGAATGCTCCTAAGATCCCTCTCTCTATCGAGCCCTTTAATAAACTTTGCAGCGTCTTCTGAGTCGCCTATCTGGCTGATCTGGAACAGAACGGCTGGTTAGACGAAACGCTGTCAGTGATAAAATAAGAGGAGATGGAGTATCTTTAGGGCCCATATAACCTACCGTTCTCCGGAAATCCTTTCCTCAATAGAAATCTCCTGCATTCGAGGATTTCCTCCTTGAATGTGTCTACACGCTCCTTGTATGGCTAAAACCAATCAATAAAAATATTCCCTTAATACACGACGGCCACAAACACGCACAACCATTCTCAGGAATTTATCTGGAGACCGGCAATACAAGGTAGGAAATGAATGTTCCTACCTTTCCATCTGTAATTACGCTGACCAAAAGCGGTCTTGTCATATTGTTACTTCTCACCGCGTCGTAAACCATGGGATTCAGTATCTTCTTCCTCAGCATCTCGCCCAGTGGCGTCAGCCCGCCAAATGTCACCTTTCTCATGATCTCTCGCGATTCACTCGTCCTGCAGATATGGTCGTGTCTGCTATCGTCCCTGGCGTTCATGAATCGTATGCTGATGCCTTCAGGATCGATTTTGGTGGCGATATTGACGATGCGCTTGACGACCTTTTTCATATCATGGATTCGGCTGCCGTTGTTCATCGAGCCGCTGTCATCTTGAATAGGCGAGATTGTGTCAGCGAGAAATACAAGGCGGCTACCGAATTATGGAAAAGGAGGTTTCATTGAGTGGGGGTTACCGAGATATATCACTGTCTGGTAGAGCCCGAGCGTCATGAGATCTTTGACCTGCTTAGGCCCGGAAAGACTTTCCTGGCGTGACGATTTCTTTGCCAGCGTGGCTGCTCTAGTCGCTAATTCCCTCAAACGTGTCTCTACTGGAGGGAAGAATCTATCAAGACCTGTAGTAACAACGTATCCCCGCGCTATGCGCTCCAGCTCCTCTGCGGATGGCGGTATCCTTCTCTTTTTGGTCTAAAATGTATAATCAGCAATCCTGTTCCACCAGAGGAGGCTCCAGTGACCGACCTTGAGCTTGATATACGAGCGGATGAGATTTACTATGACTGTGGGGATTTCGCTAAAATTGTACTTGTTTAAGTATGTATACCTATCGTTGGTGATACCATTCGTCGCTTGAAGCGGGTCAGTTGAGCTGTAGGGGGGTGGGTCGCGGCGGTTGGGGATCATATGCATCTTCATATTGACGGATGGATAGTGAGAGAACTCTATCGACTTTTAATTGACACGTTCTTATTTGCTTGAGCAATATGTAGATTGATTTCTTTGAGTTGTGAAGGGATGGAAAGGCCTTGCTGGATAGAGAGTTGTGTGATTTCGCAGGTAGGCTTGACTACATGTAGATAACAGGCGCAGTACGCAGATATATATCTTGATTATGGAACTATCGAAGCCCTAGGCCATTGAATTATTGATGGAGTGTGTTATCCAAATCATTGGCCCGACCGGGGGTGCCGATCACATGACTTCGGTGGTCGTCAGCATTCAAATCATCAAGATTGACATCTCGCTCACCTATATCCAATGGTATGTCACGTTTATTGCATCGTTATAGGCTAAGCATACGCATATGCATGCAAGCAGGAACCGGGTAAGCTCGAGAAATTGTAGATAATGCGAAACGAAGTCATGAGGGGACTTTGTGGGGTATTTACTGCGCATGTTAACTTATCAATTCATTTTCAATGGCTGTCGCTCGCTCGTGAGCTCATTTCATCCGCTCATGCTGGTAGATAAGTAGATACGTACTCATACATCTATAGCCATTCTATCTGCGCATTAGTGGCTGTTGACGTGGAAGAGGCTCCGCCCTCCGCCTTGTTTGAAATCGCCTGCATGTTACACAACATGCATACAGTTGTCGAAGGCGTCGTGGGAACTGATAAGTGCGCACTTTTACGCACAAAAAGAGTGATTAATCGAGGCGAAGACCTTTCAGGGTCTTTTCTTCCCCCTCCGGGTTTACTTTGAAAAATTGAAGGGGGGGTTAACAGGTGAGGTGGGGGTAAAGACTTGGCGCCAAGAACCAAGGTCCGAGTGATAGTGTGTGACCGACCGCATACACTTACTGGAAATTTTATTCCGTCTGATTTCTGATTAGGTTTGAGTAAAAAGCTGATTCGCGGCGGGTTTAACCTTGGTATATTGTCTGATTTTCTGCTATATTAGCCTACTTCAAGATTCGGGTCAGACAGGGCAAAAACTCCGGCAAGGACGAATCAATAGTTAGCGCTGTGGAGTATATTTATTGTGGCCTCGCATAATAGCAGAACGAGTAGCACTTGCTGACAGCACTTACATCGTTTGGTCCACATGAGCTTCAGAAGGTTGAAAGCTGGCCGGAATACATGTAATTCAGGCTAGGTGCTGGTACTGTGAGGTAGTGCGCGCGTGTTCCAATAGCTATAGTGAGACCAATTTAATCGATAAGAGAAGAGACGATGATGGTATTGATAGGAGTACTAGAGTGTGTAGCGAGCTCTATACGACAGGCTTGAGAATAGGTTGTCATGCCACCTATTCGTCGCCATAGGTCCTGTGGATAATACATGTAGTCACATGTCCTGTGCGACAGTACGCATTGATGGGGTTCGTAAGACGGCCGACCACCAAACGGAGAAGTTGTATTAATCACTTGGAACCTCAACACTTGTCGCGGGAGAGTGTACTAGTTAAGTGAACGAGAGAGTGCTTTGTACTCCACATCTTAGGTACTTTGTACATATATTTCACGTTAGCAATGTTCGCGAATTTTGTGGTGTTCGTCTACTAAACTTACATAATTACTCCTAAATACAAAAATAAGACCCTTCTATACAGGCGGCGACCACAGCCAAAGGCAGGCAGGGAAACAAATAGGATAGGGATTGTGGGTGCGTGCGGGTGACGGTTTGTGACCGCAGCCGCTCGCAAACCCTAGGCCGCCGCCGCTGGCTTACTAGCGCGTTTATGGTCAGGGTTAGGGATCGGCCAGGTTTAGGGTTGCACAAGAAAGTTACACAGGCCTACAAGTACCCACCGCTGCACGAATTACGTGTAGTTCTAGTACTACCTCCAATCAGGCTTAATTCTTATCTTCTATTTGGAGATACGAGGGGATCTTGGGGCAACCTTCGTGTCTCTCTAACGTATGAGTGATTGATATTACAGTGCTTACATCGTACGCTACGGAACACGTTCCTACACTCTACAAACATTTCGGTTTCGAGCGGGGAGTTGGGGAGATGGGGCGGAATGGTTTTGGGCAAAAGCTAATTCTGAGTGATAATTTGTGTTCTGCTTTTCTCAAGGTATGCTACGCTCAAGTATGGCACGCAATTTTCACTTGTATGAGTTTTAAAAAGATCCATTCTTGGACTCGGGCTGCCGGTTCGCCCTCTATCAATTCCACGCTGCGGCAACCCTTCGATTGGTTATAGCCTTGGCATGACAAAAAAAACTAGGAGCTGAGTGCTCTGTCTTTCTTTGTATTGCGCCTGCCAGTGGGCACAGCTAATTATGTTCTTGAAGAGTCTCAGAGTACGATAGGTATTGCGCACAAAGTCTCGGACCATCAATAACGTGGTATAACCGCAACTACAACCAGGGTTAGGGTTTCCACTTTTTTAAATGACATACGGACATGGCAGGTAATAGGTCCGTCGCCGCTCCATTTTGACGTCCAGAATGAGTTCGAGATGTCTTATCCCGGGTTCGCTCAAAGAAGGTAACTAGTGCCAACATCATGCATCACTCGATTTACCATAATTAACATTGGAGGACAAGGGGCTGCAGCTGAGGATTTTCTGAAGTACGGGACCACCCTCTCAAGAGAGAGTAACACATCGTGATTCCTGTAGGATTTGTCGTTTCCATGCACTAGGAGGGGCTTTACGGAGAGTAGTAGGGTCGGCGGTGTCAACTGCGCGCTGCCGTCCCAGATCTAAGGCTCTGATGAGATTCTCTTTTTATGTTGGTTCTTTTTCCTGATAAATTTAAAGGCCGAGAATGGCTTCAAGATCATTATCATGAAGATGGTAGCGCTGGCCCGCCGCTATCTCCCCCGGCCTTTGATTGGGGAGCCCATATATCTCACACCGAAAATCACACACACGCGCGCACAATCAATGTCACGTCACAATTACACATTAAACCTTAGCATACTTACACCACATACAAACAGTCTCATAAAGCCTTTCCATCCCCTCCTTCAAACCGCCGCCTCCACCATCCCAGGCGCCACCGGCACCACCGCGCCCTCCATCACCGGCGCTGCCACCCCCGCCGCCGCCGCCACCCGCTTCGCCTTCTTCCTCTCCGCCCTCACCACCAACCCCGCAACCACCGTCGTCGCAATAAGCAAGAACCTATCCACACATACCACATTAGCCCCAGCTCTCTCCCTCCACATCAAAAAGGAGAAAGAGAAACCCACAGCTCAATCAGCGCGACCGCGACCAGCAGCAGCCCATACCCGCCGCCATACCACCCATACCGCCAGTACCCCGCGCTCGCAACGCCAAAATCTCCACAGGAAGCAGGCGATAAAGGCGATGATGGCCAGCGAGAGCGGGTGCATCTTGCCGCAGCAGTAGCAGATGAGGCAGGTGATGGTGTAGATGACTGTGAGGATGCCGAGGCCGAAGGTGTACAGGAAGAAGCTGTTTCTCTTTGTTAATCCGGGGATGGGGCGAGGAGGGAGAGGAAGAGGGAAGGGGGTGTACCCGCTGCCAAACATCGCGCAGATGAAGGGGTTGAGAACGGCGAAGATGAGCTGGAAGGTGCGCAGCGTGATGATGGCCGCGTGTGGCCAGCGGTCGTCTCGTCCGCGGCGGGCCATTGTTTGGTATATTTCATGACTAGCTGGGGGGTTGGAATATTTGGGGTTAGGATCGAGGCGTTAGGACCTAGTTAGAACTTGGAAGGAGACATCACAGTAGTGGTGGTGGCTTTTTGATGATTGTCCTCTCAGTGGGTAGATCACTACCAGATTGTTCGCATGCTCCATATAGCATATATCTGCACTGTCGCTACGAGGATAGGTACCCTATGAGAACATGATAAACAATCACCCGACACAGTATCAATCTCGGCGCCCCTTGATGCTCTTCAATTACAGTTAACCTGAATGTAAAGGGTAAATACCTACGAGCCGTATCATAGGGTCCCAGTTTTCTTTGCTTTTCTTTCCTCTCTTTTCTTTTCCTTTTTGGATTATATAGGAATACCTTAACTAGGAGAATAATTTGGGTGCGATGGTCTTGTGGCCGTTTTCTCGGGGGGGTTTAAGCATATTTCCTTTTGAAATAAGTATCCTCCGGATCCTGTTAGAATTTAGAACGGCGCCAGCTACTTTCCGTGATTCAACCCCAGCAACTTCAACAAACACCGACCGGACTTAGCGAGTCCTACTAACTGTAATATCCTCTATTTATAATTTCTCTGCCGCTAGATGATCTGGATATGATAGGAATAAACAATCCGCCGGAAACCCTAACCCTGAACGCTACATAGCGATATCACACACAGCATAACGATATCATGTCCATAGGTACGCATAGCGAAATTGTATTTTATCAGTATCAAGTTATCTATTCTTATAACAAAATATGCTCTCTGAAAGATCTCGCACGTCTCCCTGCGCTTCACTGGGCTCGGCGCCGTTCAGCCTACGATCCTCGCTGCAGAGTCAATGTGCATTTAGCGTATCAGATTGCTTGTATGCATGTCAAAGTAAAGAACAAAGACCTTTAAACACAGGAAAAAGGGAAATATGGGGTACATGTAATGAGGACCGTCGATTCATAGTAAGGTTGTATGTAATTAATGAATTAACCCAAAAAAAAACCGCGATTCATAACCCTAGCCCTGGCACAACCCTAACCCCGAACCCGCATGTACCTCCAGCTACTACATTACCTCGCTCCCAGCCATGACTGTCACCTCTCTCCGCTGCGGCATGAAAAGTCCTATCCATAAATTGAGTGCATGTATTGCAAAGACGCTGTCGGAATGTATCACGAAGGAGTAATAATGGAATTGATGACGGGAGTATGGAGTGGAGGAAGTAATGTGGGTCAATGATTCAAAGCCTAGTTTTTAGGTAGTGTGGGGGTACGTTTTCTTGTGGAGAGATAGATATTAAAGGCCCATCTTTGATGGCGAAAATATGAGTTCATGACCCCAGCTCTGACACCTTTTGGGGTGACGCGGTTGGGGTTGGTGGTGGTCTTGCACGTGAGGGAAATGCTATCGTCTCGATATGCTTGTGCGCTCCGTTACGTCTACTTGCACGATATATAGATCTTGGGAGCATAAAGTAGATGTGTGTAGTTGTGGTGTGTGAAGCCAAATACTGAGCTGTTTAAGATGCGTTGAACGGCACGGACTCAACAATGGCCGAAATATAAGGTAATTTGGATGGGGAGAGGGTCGATGTCGTATTTGCGGAGAGCATAGTTAGCTCACTATGAAGACAACGATCCAAAGACATCGCGAGGTGGTATGTTACCCCTCGTGTACATAAATCCACATTAATTCAACGTTGAAGACAGTTTGGCCAAGTGCCTCTTAGACGCTAGGAGTCAACGTTGGAACTAGCTGATAGAGGGTAGTTTATCAGTAGACGAGGTCAATAATCACATGACACGAAATAAGCGACGTGTTGGGTCGATTAAATCACTAAAAATACTTAACCATCCCCCGGAGTTATAGAGTACACATTACTGACAATAAGCATAGAAAGTTATTGAGTTAATACATATCTTATTAGCAATATATGTACCTGATCTATATACTAGCATCTAGACACAGACATGTTCTGAAGGAACGTGCCGGAGTGAGAACTATATTGTGCACAGATATATGCCAAAGCGTGCAAACAGGCGGTCCCAATCCTGGCGCGAACCCGAAAATATTTATAATGACCAATTAAAATGTTCCACCACACCGATATTTCAATCTAGGCTGATAATGCGCGACAAAACGAAAAACACATGACGTACAGTCACACAACACTATCCGGAAGGTATCGAAAGCTGGCGCTTCTTGGAAGGGTTCTCTTAGAAAGTGCTATATGAGTAGTTAGAGATTAATTACGCTTAAGACTGGGAATCTTTATTACTTACAGTTTGCTTCGGGGAATAAGCATCGTGGAAATCCGCTAATGCTTACCGCTTTCGCAGGGTCGTCCCAAAGCGATAAGTAAATGCACATCTCCTTATCCTTATCCGCACGTTTCAAAGAAAACTGCACATCATATGAGATCCTGTAGGTTGAATTGGTGCCATCTTCAGGCGTTGGCTCGGCCGTTAAAACCCGCTTGATCTCGTTCCTATCACCAATCAAGAAGATACTACTGGCTGGCTGCGGTCGATTCACGTAGAGTTCGATTCGTTTTAGCAGAGCTTGTGATCGTACCCGACATTTTACTCTTCCTATAAATGGCTTTAGGAGGATTTACAGGGGTATGATAAAGGGTGGATCAACTTACCAGTGCAGGTCAAGGTAACCCCTCGTCTCAGAGACTCCACGCCTATGTAAGGTTCAACGGAGGCACCAAGGAATTCGAAATAAAAAAGGGACGCAATCAATTTATGCGCAATCATCGTAACATCAGTGGCCGCCGGTCTAAGATTGAGCCAGCGGTCTACTTTCCGTTGCAGGCTGTCTACCTGGCAGAAATCGTCCATTTTCGGAATAGGACTCTTGATATATGGGTTCAGCCTTCTATACTTTGATAATCTCTCCTTATCCTGGTCATCAATTCTAAGGCCGTCAGTAAATTCCCTCCACTTCATCTCAGAATCCATATCCTCTAGAACAGCGGTATAGCCCAGATCCTTCATTTTATGTAAGAAGCTTGTGATCCCTGTCTCCGAACGTGGAGAGTCATCCGCCACCTGCGGAGGGTCCGGATCAAAACCTGTGCCAAGGGAAAGCATGATGTCTGGGTCTTGCTTTGATAGTTCAGGCCAGAGAACCTTCCTCTCCTTATCAGCGAGAAAGGCTGGATTGTTACACCGCAATGCCCCATCATCAAACGTGTACCGTGAAGCGGCGTGCGAAAACGACTTGAAACACCCAGGAGCAGCTGAGGTAGCCCGGACCCTTCGACTAAATGAGCATCTCTCTAGACAGATTTCTTGCAATATAGAGTGTCTTACGCTTCCCATAACTTTAGCTCGGTTGATTCGTCTTCACCCCTAAAGAAATCGTATGTAGCTGAAAAATGTCAAAGAAAGGCCATCCGGGAAAGGGGAAGAATAACCTACGATCATCAGCCGGATTCCCATAAATTTCATCATCACCAACGTGTAGCAGAAGACTGCCAGTCACGTCATCCTCATTATCACTACTCGTGAGGCTTCCTGGACTGCGCTCCTTTTCACGCTTAGGATGAGTGGCCACTTCGAAATACGCGTCGATTGCAATTGATTCCTGTATCGGCCGATACCGCCGAGTTTCGTTCCGGAACTCGTAAACTACTGATCCAGGACAGGGTATGGGATCATCTGCACCGTTCCTAGAACGCATTGAGCTATTCGGTGTACTATTTTGAACCTTTATCTCTTCAGTCTGAGCTTTAGTTTGCTCATCCCCTCTTTTCCATGTTCCTTGAGGTTTCCTCTCCGGAGGCGGGCGGTTATAATTGGTCAGTAGACAAGGCTTCCGGTTTGATGATGTTGCGGTGAGTGCGACCTTTAGACCAGGAACTGTGGTACATAGGTTAGAGTCCAGTGCTGCTCCAAAAATGCTTTCATCACCGAAAGCACTCTTCAACACGTCCTGCAGCGAAGAAGTCTTGTAACGCCCATGGTGGTGCGCCAAGACAAGCTTCCCTAGGATGGGCCAGCTAACCAACGGCCGCGGGACAAACGACTTGCTTGCAAATTCTTTAAACATCTGGATAGACTTTTCGATCGATAAACGTTTCAAGCCTATACCAGCAGCTACAAGCCCACCCCCACTTCGCAGTTGCCAAACAAAGTTAGTCATCAGAGAATCGATATTGGTGAATCAAGATCCATATAGTTACCTTGTCCCTACAATAAGATCGAAATACTTGTCTATCGGTATATCGAGACCGATCTCGCGCTCTATCCGCCTCAGAATCTCAAGTTGCATTATAGACCGAACACCCCCGCTACCACCAGCTCTTAGTAACACTCCTATCTAGGGTCTCTTGCAAAGCGGCAAACATACCCATCAAGACATAATATACGCAAACCGGCGGAAGGAGGTTTTACTTCCACTCTCAACTTTTGCTTTTTGACCCCACAGAGGGGGCAAGCCTTCAAGACAAGCCGGGGGAGGCGTCTTTCCCTCTCCGAGTAGTCCTCCATACAGGATTGGCAAAGAAGATGCCCACATAACAATTTATGTGCTGGGCTGGAGGCTAAACAACAGAAGCAGGTTTTGTGACTGATCAAATGCCCTATGATATTTCGATACCTTGTCTTCTTAAAGATTGTTGCATGAACCTCAGCGACTGCCTTCCTCATCTGATTCCTATTGAATTCTGTCTCGGACTTCTTAGTGTGGTATTTCAGAAGACACTCCCTAAGCTCTTTCTGAATCTCAGTGAAGAACCGCCCCCTGTTGACTTTATCATCACCGGATGACCTAAAGGTCCGTCTTAGGCTTGTATCCGGGTCCTCCACCTCGAAAATCTTGCCGGCAATGTTTTGGTGGCCTTTGGTTGAATGAGTTGATTGGACATTCACACAACGATTACCCTTAATGTCAACTGCTTCACAAGGCCAATCCCGACTGTAAAACAGAGAGAACGCCTCCGAACAAAATACACGATACTGGTTGTAAACCTCCTTGGTAATATCTTGTGAGAAAACCACTAGAGTCAGTCTACATAATAACAGTCTGAAACGATTGAAGCTTACCCATATTAGGAAGTTGCAGGCGATGGGAGTTCAAAAATATACAGGAGGCGATCCACAGGGAGATGTCCTTAAATATCTCATTGCCGGGTTTCATTGGGTGGATTGACATATATTTTACTGCGAGCTTGCAGATGTGATCTTTTAGGGTCTGCGTGACAGGGCTTTGAACCAGGGCAGTAGACAAGAAGTTAAAGGGCTTATCCGGTGTTGCAGTAAAATGATCGAATGCCATTTCAAGGTATCTGTTGAGCGTACTGGCAGACATCAAAAACCCTGAATCGCGTCGGCGCTTGCGAGCACTTTTGGAAGCGGCTGAGAGCGCGGTCTGCAGCGCTTGGTACTGTTCGATGGTGCGCGAGTGCTGAACTGACTCTAATTTGGGGATGCAAAATATCTTGAAGTGTCGGAAGTAGCGTTCTATCAACTCAGTGAGAGTTTTAATTGTAGTCCCTCGCGCCTTCCAACTAGCGGCCAACTTTCCTATCGTGGACTCGGAGGAAAGGATGGAGGAGCCTCGACGCTCCAAAAACTCTCGCGTGACCTTGCTAGTATCCCACCAATCCTGGAAAACACTGTCGTCCGGTGCCTCCTACACATTCTCATTTTAGCGCGCAACTCACAGAGGGTACTATACTAGTAGGCAATCCACCTTCGTGCTAAAGGCATTGAATATCATGAATGCTTGTGGTAGCATTGGCTGATTTGTCGTCTTGTCAATCGCTGTGTCTGCCCAAAGCAATAACTTTGAAAGATGGGCTTCGAAAGCCCTATAAATCAATCAGTAGGTGTTTATGCTCTCGGTTGGTGAGAAATACCTTGAATTTGTCGTGACAAGACATACTACATCGGAGAAGGGGAATAAGATTCTGGGATACAATTCCTTCACCGCCCATGCGCGTGTTATAGATGGAGATACCTCTCTTCTCTTGTGTATGAGATAGTTGATATCACCAACCCTTGAGAGTTTCTCCAAACATACTGCTGAGGCTGGCAGCGACTCGCCCCCGTCCATGCCCTCGCAGTCGACATAATAGGTTGGGTAACGTGTATCGCGTGTGACAGGGTCACTGAACAAATGGACATCACCGCTGGTTGGAATAGTCTGTTCGTAACTCGTTCCCATTACCGGGCTCAAAATGTCGTCCGGGACATGATTCGTGATCTCTTGCGGCAGCTATATATATTAAGCTCTCATAGGTCATATTATCATGGGGTTTATGGAGTTATACTCTTAGAATTCCATTGATCACCGTACTCTTCCCTGCCCCGGTATCCCCGACAAATGAGATCAGTGAGGGGTAAAAGTCGGACGGAGGAATTTCAGAGTCCTGCAGCAGTCTAAGGAACCCGCCAAAGTCATGCAAGTAGCTTTTCTTATGATCATCGATGACAGCACCGAACCATTTGGAATAGATGTTGTTGTGATGCTGCACTTCCCTCTCCTGCAGTGGAACCCCCGTGTCAAAGACACAGAGTACAAAATTTGCAACATTCAGTTCGGTCTTCTCATGGGATCCTGAACGGTTCCTGTCGCTGTCGTGTACTGCCTGCATATCGTAGCAAAAGTCGCAGTACACCATTTCGCAACCGTTGCAGTATGTGAGATTCTCATTGTGAACGCGTGCCCTCCTAACCTGGCATTCCGAAGCAATTTTTGTGGTTGACATGTTTCGTGATAGCAGGAAGCTTGTATGTAGTAGTACTATAGGCGGTCAACCGGGGTGGCGAATCCACACATTTTAGGAAAACAGAAAAGAGCCCCCCGTTAGGTCGTGCCGATCACATATGTAAATACAGCCACTGTTTACCGAGAACATAGCCGTAGATGTATATTTTGAAATACAGCCTCGTTTGACGCATCTGTTCAGCTCCATCTTCGGCAAGGAGTCGTGTGTCTCTCAACACCAATAGACCTCGCATACAGCCCTGCACACCAGAATTGGTCCATTCTACTTACTCGCGACCAGCAACAAGCACCCGAAAATGCACGTCCTAATCTGCAATTTCCATTGGAGTAGAAGTCAAAAATACACCAAAGACTTGCAGCTGCATATTCGGGTTCTTGTTGCTGGTCGCGGGTACCTAGGAACATACCGCAGAATCTCAGGAATAGGGAATCGAACTGGGCTGGAATACCACTTACCCATTGGTGAAGACACGCTTTGGGTCTGTCGGATTGAGGTTCAACAAGCATTTGACCAATCGAAAGCCATATTCCAGTCCAGTTCGATTCGTATTCCTGAGATTTTGCCGTATGTACTGTAGGCACATACATATCTGCAGGTCAGCTGAGCATGAGATCACATTATATAACCAACTACTTCTCGGCGTCGGTTTCCTCCGACTCACAAAGCCACGAGTAGATCTAGAGGTGATAATTCCCACTTATTCTTCTGAGATAATAAATGATACCGCAGAATCTCAGGAATAACGAATCGAACTGGGCTGGAATACCGCTTTGGGTCTGTCGGATTGAGGCTCAACAAGCATTTGACCAATCCAAAGCACAATATTCCGGTCCAGTTCGATTCGTTATTCTTGAGATTTTGAGGTACAGTCGTTTCTGGGTCAACGACGAACCCGGCTCGATGACGAGTGGCTACTATTTGGGCTAATAGTCAGTCAAAGCAAAGGGGTTGGGGCGCTTTTGTTGGCTTTTATTGCCTTCGATTGGCCTATTCGCCATCGAACTGGTTTCGTCGTTGACCCAGTGACGACTGTACATACCTACCAGAAGGATGTCGAGGCGCCCGTGTAACCACTACAGTCGTTTCTAGGTCAACGGCGAACCCGGCTCGATGACGAATGGCGACTTTTCGGGCTGATAATCAGTCAAGGCAAAGGGGTCGGCACACTGTTGTTGGCTTTTGTTGACTTTGATTGGCCCATTCGCCATCGAACCGAGTTCGCCGTTCACCCAGAAACGACTGTACATGTAGAGTAGGTAAGTCCTTGGCGTGGGCCTCTTCTTAGCGAGCACCAATGCATACACGCAACACATACTCTACTGACGTTTATGGGCGCGACTGAGATATTCTATGCCATATAAAAATACGCCAAGCTCATGCAGTCATAGACTATGGCATAAAGACCCAGTAGAGTACTCTACTCTACCAGTCTAGAGTATATAGGGCGTGAGCGCAAAATACTAAGAGCGCCTTAATTAGAGTCTTTTATCCACGCTCGCTCGAAGAAAAGACCTAACCCTGGATTTTAGTTGATGAAATATGATGATCTGAGAGAGGAATGAGTCCCGTCGGTTTATTGGTTCTTCCAGATTGAGCTACTGCAACCTCTTTCGATCCTCCATTTAGCTTGTGCATACAACCCCTGGTCTTTTTGCCTCGATACCCATCTTTCAAGCTTCGAGTGATAAGTGTGGATAAAAGACTCCACTAAGCAGATTACGTGATGCGCCTTATAGGGCGAAGATTATTTTAATGTCACAGACTCAGACTCGGGGGGAGTCGAATATTAACTCTTGAGCCTCCTAATGCGGTGAACTTCGTGCGTGTCACACAAGAAAAGCGGTTTGGCCTTTGGCACATGATCAATCACTCGGCCGGTCGGATTGCATTGTTGCCTTACAAGATTTTTATTTCACCTCGGGGTGCTGCGCTTATAACTACATGTACATGTAGCAAGCTTGGGCTGTGTGTATGTATATTCTTTTTGCTTAACTTCATTATAGTTGAATACACTCATGCTCAGCTTCTATGCGCATGCACCCTTAACTAATATAAGCTTGGTGCGAGGAACGCAAAGGGACATTACTTTATGGAGATAGAGGAGTATACTTCCAATCACCACCTTTAGGAAAGCCGCCTGGTAGCATACACGTGCCTCTTGTTTGGTTACTACTGCAAAAGAGCTGGTTGACTGCAATTACTTCCTTTAATTGCTTGCCTTGACATCTCTCAAAATCTCTCGACATTTAGCGGGGCACGCGGCCGGGGGTAATGCGGTCACCGGAGTATGAGGGTATTTGGTTTATATCCCTCCACATTACAATTTTTTTGTTTGCTTCCGGTCGTTCATTAGTTTTGTGGGTATTTCAGCGCTTGTGGTAAGCCGTATGCATATATACTTCTAGTCGAGTAATCGAAATTCTTTCATTCTTCAATATGGGTTCCATAATGATATTGCAATATTGTCTATTACATAAGAAAACATGTCCAGCTCTATACACGTACTGGGCAGGATTATCAACATAGTCGATAGCAATAGTAACATCATATATTACACCAAAGGAGTTCTATGGTATATCGCCTTATCCATACTTCAGGTCCAACTTCAACTCAGCCTGCAACGCCGCCAGTGGTTCAGTTTGACTGCAGTCCGTTGCAGTCGACTGTGCCAAGACACGCAGTCCAACAAAATGGACGGACTGAATGGACTGCATGGACTGCAGTCGACTGCGGTTTTCGAGCCAAGTCAGTCCGTCCAAACACTGAACGGACTGAGGACTGCCTCTAGGGGGAGTGGAAATGTGTACCTAGAATATTCGGTAAAGTTGTCGGTAAAGTCGTTTTTCGAGCTTTGATTTACGAGGGTACTGTCAATATTTTGGTAGAGGGAAAGTCGTTTTAAGGGAAATCAGTCGATTTTGCAGACAACTTTACAGATGAGTTTACTGATGCCTTTACCTGTAACGCTTCTGTCACACATTTTGAGCGTATACACATGGGGATATGTTTTTGCCACCGGTGATGCTGCACATGGTTGACGAAGGCCATCGGCAATGAAACGAATCATCACCGAGCATCCTACTATTATACCAGGAGCATTAAGCAAGAATTGCCTGCATGTATATGCCAAACAACGGACCCATCAAAAAGAAATTGTATTCCCCAACTGTTACAAGCCCATTGATGTCAGATACCATTTGATGACCCCACCGAAATAGGTTTGTTTGAGTACTCAACTATCTCGGGATCTAGAGGGGGGGCTTCATTGGAAAACGTTGGTTTTCCGGCGGAAAACAGGAAACCCCGGAAACAGTCAGTAAAGTCGTATTTTATTGCCTTTAACGTGCCTTTAATAGGTCAAGTCTAGAGAAAGTATGTAGGAGAAGTAAAGTAATTGATCGTGTTGCTTGTTGCTAGCTAAGGGGGAATGCCCCGTATTTATACTAATGAAAGGTAGTACAAAAGAAATACAATGAGTCATAGACGTGTGAGTAAATAGAATGACTAATAGGAAAGTGAGTCATACGCCGATGACAAATACTATAATGAAATGGTGAGAATCTTCCAGAACTATGAAACGTGCCGAGCGCCCTATTTCAAGACTTCCCCTCGTGAGCCACAGTGAATAGTAGAAGAAAATAAAACATGTTTGCCTTTATCCAATCCCTTTGTGAGTAAATCCGCCACGTTCTCGTTCGTAGAAAATATATTCCAGTTCAAATAATTCATCCTCAAACCGTTCCCGAACAAAATGAAAATGTACGTCAATGTGTTTAGACCTTTTATGAAAGACAGGATTTTTAACCAAAGAGAGAGAGCCGTTGTTGTCGCCTCGAAGAATGAAAGAGAGATTTGGTTTTCGTTCCAGCTCGTGGATTGCGTTCCTTAACCAGATCAGTTGTCGACTGGTGTCCGAGAGGGCCATGTATTCCGCTTCAGTTGTAGAAGTGGCGACAGATCGTTGCTTATAAGAGTGCCAGGAGATGAGAGCTTCCCCTAGCATGAAGCAGTACGGTGAAATGAGCGGCGATCGTCGATGTCGGAGCATAGCTTGCGTCGCTGTAGCCAATGAGTGCAGTTGGTCGCGTTTTTTAATGTTAAGGGGTGAAAAGTACCATTCTAATTACAAGAGCCCTGAGCCGTTTATTATCATTTACTCCCTGTCGGTTGGGTAATTGCGCGCCTGCTGCCTTCCTTGGATGTGGTAGCCGTTTCTCAGGCTCCCTCTCCGGAATAGAACCCTAATTCCCCGTTACCCGTTGAAACCATGGTAGGCCACTATCCTACCATCGAAAGTTGATAGGGCAGAAATTTGAATGAACCATCGCCGGCACAAGGCCATGCGATTCGTTAAGTTATCATGAATCACCAAGGAGCCCGAAGGCATTGGTTTTTTATCTAATAAATACACCCCTTCCGAAGTCGGGGTTTTTAGCATGTATTAGCTCTAGAATTACCACGGTTATCCAAGTAGTAAGGTACTATCAAATAAACGATAACTGATTTAATGAGCCATTCGCAGTTTCACTGTATATTTTGCTTATACTTAGACATGCATGGCTTAATCTTTGAGACAAGCATATGACTACTGGCAGGATCAACCAGGTAGCTACCTTGACCCGCACGCGTGACCACGTTGCGGGCTGCAGCCATCGCGCCCGAGGACGCTCTGGCCTGAAGCACACTGTTGGTTGGGGAGCTTCGGCGCGGGCAAGCGGAACACCTGCACCTCTCGCCTGCTCCCAGGCCCTGATCTCTGCTTATGGGATTGATAGCCACGCCTTGGGGGGCATGGCGCACCGTATTCCCGCAGAAGGCCTCTCCATTTGCCTCGTCGGAACTCCTTCGGTTCACGCTTCCGCGCCGGGACACGTCGGCCCCATCGCATTGCTGCGACGGTGTCAACTTGCTCAGGCACATGGCGGACCAAGGTGAGGGCTCGCAACCGGCCATACATTTTGGGTGTACGGCACGGCTTCCTGCCCCCAGGTGCGTGTTTGAAGGAACGATGGCCAGGGGCCATTGATCCACACACTCCATCTTTGCCCGCTGACGCAAAAGCGAGAACGGGACTTGAGCCAGGTCACCGGCAGGTACGCCACCAACACAGCCCACCCCGAGGAGTTACCCACGGGTTGGAGGAGGTCGAGGTCGCTGCTGCCAGTGCGCCGGGTGTAGAACAAACCCTCAGCAGGACCATGTGAAGGACTTGTTTAGAGCCCTCCACACAGTCTGCCTCGGGACTGATCCAGGGCACAGATGAATTCCGTCTATAGGGTGGTAAGTACTCAGGGGCGCGGGCAGGCATGCGCTAAGAGTCAATCCACCGCCGTAGCGGCAAAGACATCAACAAGCACCAACCTCACCCTTCGCCTCCTTTCCTCCCACCCCTCAAAGGTGACCCGGCATGAAATGGGGGCGTTCCGGCGGTTTGACGCTCCGGGGGTTATTTTCGGGGTCGAAAACGTGTCTTTTTTGCAGGGTTTCCGCAACTCCGTGGGGACGCTCAAAGGAGCCGGACCGCGCACAGAGCGACCGTCTACTCCGTGTCCACCCTTGCTCAAATGACTCTGGCCCGCTCCCGACGCGCAAACGGGATCACACCTGGCACACCGGGAAGTCGACGCCTCGGTTTTCCCAACCCGCGTGCACCGGGGGGGGGCTGGGTAGGGTAACAGGCACAGTGAGGGGGGAAACAAAGAAGAGGACGGGAGGTTACCCTACCATAGCCATCCCGAATCCACGGGCCCACCGGTTCTCACCCCCCCTCACTCCAACGCCAGCAGGAGCTCGGTTGGGGACCGGGGGGCGGGACCACGTGAGGTGGGTTACCCTACCTTGATGTTCCCCCCAACCGAGGAATACAGGTCGAGGACGCCCGAGCTGCCCCCGCCTGCTCGGGGCCCGAACAGGATCGAGTTGGGCGGGCCCGGTTGGGCGCCGGGGGTGGGCTACCCTACCTTGATGTTCCCCCCAACCGAGGAATACAAATCGAAGACGCCCAAGCTGCCCCCGCCTGCTGCTCGGGGCCCGAACGCGATTGGGTTGTTCGCCAACGGAGTCTCACCTTCCACGTTCTAGGTCATGCAAGGTCAGGGTAACCCATGCACGAGAGGTTACCCTACCTTGGCGCCGTCGGAGAGGAACTCGGGGGGGGGGGAACCCAGCACCAGCATGACAAAGGTTCGCCCTCTTCGGGGGCTCACGAATCATGCTCATGCTGGACCGCAGGCAGGACAGAGAACCGAGGCC